GCAAGTATCGTCGCAAAGATCTTATAATCATTGTTCAGTAAAGAAATAGGTCGCCAGTTGTCCAGTAGGAGGCAGTCTTTCTTTGGTTTAGGAATGAGAGCAATTAATCCTTGAGTTAATGTAGGAGGTAAGGAGCCTTTGAAAACACTCTCAGCAAAAACTTCCTTTAAAAATGGAGCTAAGCGCTGAGAAAATTGCTTGTAAAATTCTGCAGTAAAGCCATCCGTTCCAGGTGATTTGTTTATTTTTAGCTGGTTAATAGCATTAGTTATTTCCTTCAGTGAAATAGAGGCATCACAAAAATCGGAGTCAGCTTCAGAAATCTGATTAATATAAGGGATAGAATTAAAAAAGGTAGAAGCTTCCTGAGAGCAATATCTTGAGCTGTAAAGATCACTATAAAACTTGGCGCAATACTGAGAAATTTTCTTTGGGTCATCAATGATTGTTCCAATTCTTAATTGCTGAATGGAGTTAATTTTAGATTGCTGCTTTTCGAGGCTAAAGAAATATGCAGAGTTCTGCTCGCCCTCTTCGAGCCACTTGCGGCAAGATCTAACAAAGGCACCTTGCGCTACTCGTTTATATATCTCATCTAACTTGAGCTGCTGATTGGTAAGCTCCAACTGTTCTGACTCAGTGAGTGCATCTAATGACTTAGAAGTTAGGAATGCAATTTTAAGTATAGTGTTGTTTTCCTCTAATCTCCTTTTTTTTAGCTAAATCACTACTATATTTTCTAAGGAATTTCGCAATTTCGTACTTCAATAACTCTCAATTAGTGCTAGAGATTTTTATTTTGAGCTTTGTCCCAATATAGTCGAATGAAACTCTCAATCTTAGAGGTCACTTCCTTGTGTTTAAGGACTGTACTGTTTAATTTCCAATAAGAGGTTTTAGGAGGACCAGGAGAAAGAGAAGGAATGATAATTTGAATAGTCTTATGATCAGATAGGGGTGCTGGTAAAATATTTGTAATCACATTTTTCAAATCCTTGGATATAAGCCAGAGATCAACACGAGACTGCTTTGATAAAATTTTGTTGCTCCATGTATATGACTTCTATAGCGAGTATCTCTCCATGTATCAGTTAAATCAAAGCTTTGTATGAACGTCTTCACATACAAATTAGAGGAGTCTTCATTCCTTGAAGGCAGCCTATCCAGGCGATTACTTAACACAGAATTAAAATCCCCGCCTAAAACCATAGAAGCTTTCGGGTATTTAGATAACCAGTAAAGGAGACGGTCTTCCAAATTATCAAAAAAAAAAAAAAAAAAAAAAAAACAATGTTCTCTGCTTGCGAATTGAAGCCATAAGCATTAACTATAATATAACTTACACGGGCAACCTCTAGGACTAGCAATATGTAACGACCGGTTTTGTCACGTTCAGAATTTAAAACTTTTCCACTAAAGCGGTTTTTCAAAATACAAACACCGGCTGAATGCTCTGACCCATGAGACAGCCACAGGTTCCCCCCCCCCCCCCCCCCCCCCCCCACTGTGATATCCAGAAGTTGGTGTCCTGTTCAATTGAATGTGTTTCCTGCACAAAACAAAAGTCAGTATTAAGTTGTTTGCAGTATAAGAATATAGCTTTTCGTTTTAGATGGTTTCTCAAACCTCTTGTGTTTAAAGAGATACTAGACAAAGACATAAGGAAAATAAACAAAGTACACCAACAAGACCAGAAAAACTAGCACGTATGCGAAAATAGATAAAGTTCTCAGCAAAGCACCAACATGGGTCTGAGAACAGCAAACCTTATAAAAGATTGTGAACATGTGCTACCAAATTCAAACAGGCTGTAAACCTTACAAAAATGTCGCTTAGCTAGGAAAGTCTATTCAGCGTCTCAGGGAGGAAGAATTTCCTTTCCGCCCACATTGGCGCGACCGCCTACATAGAAAGCCAGCTTGCCATCTTTCCGCGCCTGGTCAACAAGGGGCCACAGCTTCTTCCTTTTCTCTCTGTCCTCTTCTGACAAGTCCTCCGCCAGTTTCAAGCTCTTGCTCTTCAGGAAGGTGGAGTTTTTGGCAGAGCGCCACACAGCATCACGGTAGTACCTGGAGATAAAACGTATGACGACTCCTCTTGGTTGATTAGCACCGGGCTTCCTAGGGCCAAGGCGGTGAATGACATCGATGGCATCCGGAAGCTTGGTTTTGGCCTCAGGAAGCAGACCCTGGCATATGTGAATAATCCTCTCGTCGTAGATCCTGCTGATCCTTCTCTTCTAAGCCATGGAGCTTGAGATTCCAGCATCGGGAGTAAGCCTCGAGCCGAGACACGCTGCTCTGTCTTATCAAAATTAACTTGGCAATCTTTAAACAGAGTTTAGCAGCGGTCAACTCTCCCTTTTACTTCAACACAAACAGCATTAAAGGATTCTTTAACATCTGCAATTTGCTTGGTGTTTTCTGTGACTGCCAGCTTCACCTCTGCAATCACTGCGGAGTTGTCACTCATCAACTTTTCCAATGCATCTGACCTGTTGTTTATCAGCTGTGTGAGGGAGGAAAGCTGGAAGAGGATTGCATCCGTTGTCGAGTCTTCCACTCGTCTCCATTTAGGTGCAAGTGAGTTGACCGGGGTGACAGGGGGAGGCGGAAAACTATCTTCCAGTAACGAGACCTTCGGTGGATCCGCATCTGACTCGAGATAGTCGTGCATATTGTCAATTAGCATGTTGCTGGTCTCCGGCAGCTCAGCGGGAGCTAGCATAGCAGCCTTGTTGGTAGAGCACGTGCTGATCAGCACCTTTTTTACACCGCTCTTCCTCTTCTCCTGGGGTTTCATCTTACCAGCAGACGTAGCCATAGTACAGCCAAACAGACGCGACAGATAACTAAAGGCGAAAGTTCAGTTTGTTCACACTCTAACTATATAGAAAACAGTTCGGTTTGCGTAGCTCAGCGAAGCACGTCCACTCAGAGCGCCATCTTGGTCGACCCCCCCAATGCGCGCCGATCACTGGTGATCTTTTTTTTTTTTTTTTATTTGCACAAAATATAATGTACAACAATTATGGCAATCTCTACAAAGAATCAGTTTTACCAACATGAGATAGTACCAGAACAGGCTGAATTCCAACATATAGAAGAAGGATAATGAACAGGAAGTACTAACAACAACAAAAAAATAAACAAAATAAAAACAAACCCCAAACAGAACAAATAAGCAAACAAATGAACAAAAAGACAGATAATTAATTAAAGAAAAGCATAAAAAAATTTATACCTTAGGGGCTTTCTAACAGATTTAGTTCAACAATCATATGATTCAAAACCAGAGCTTGTTTTTTGTCCATAAATTTAACAGATGAGAAAAGGAGGCAGAGTTCTTTGTGAAAAGTAAAAAAGACGGCTTTGTTTTCAGAAAACGACATTTGTGAATGAAGAATTTGCCCATAATAATTATTACATTTAAAACATTTTCAAGCTTCTTTTCTTTTCTTAGAGAACCAAACATAATATCATTTTTAGAAAATTCAAGTAAGTTTGGGATCTTAGGGAAGAGCCAGTAGTGCACATCGTTCCACAGGGCTTTACACAATATACAGTCATAAAATAAATGTTCTGTTGATTCAATATCCCCATTACAAAAAGAGCAACAATTATCATCAATAGCGAAGCGGCGTCTGAGAAATTCTTTGGAAGGGTAAACACCAGAGAGGATTTTGTAGTGGACCTCCTTAGCTTTGGGAGGAATGGGAAGTTTTAAGTAATTTTTTCTGATCTCTTTCTTTTGATCACCGGAGAACAGATGTGAGATGGAATTTGGATTGGATATATAAGGGAAAAAAACATTAGTAAATAATTCCCTAATTTGGGAGTTTTTTAGACTGTTAGCTGTTATGTTATGCCCATTTACCAACAGTTCAGGGAGATCAGGGGATCTATAGTCAGGGTTTTGAAAAAGATTATATGCTGTACATAGAATGTTTTGAGGGATAGCCTTAGTAATTTTTTGAAATTCTTTGTTATTTATTTGCAGATCATAATTGGCAGTAAAATCTTCTAATAAAATTTTACCTCTATCATTTAACAAGTGCATCACTGACCAGATGCCCTTATCGTACCATTTTTTTTATAAAGATTGATTTGTTTCCTGCTGTTATGTAATGACAGTTCCATAGGGGAGTGTTGTGTGGGCTACAGTTATGTTTGTGTATTAATTTCCAGTATAATAAAACTTGCTGGTGAAAGGAAGAGAGCTTTATGGGGAGTTTTTTTATGTCAAAGTCACATCCAAGTAAGAGATTAAAACCGCCTAGATCCGAGAATATTTTGCTTGGAATGTGAAACCAAAGGCTATTTTGACTTCTTAAAAATGACCTAAGCCAATTTATTTTTATGGTACCGTTTAAGCTGTCAAATTCAATAGCTTGCAAACCTCCATCTTCAAACCGTTTGACTAAATTACCTTGCCTAGTGTAGTGGGTTTTGTGTTTCCATATAAAATCAAAGTTTAGCTGGTTGATAGCTTTGATTGCTGATTTAGGCACTCCTATCGCATATGCAGGGTATACTAGCCTGGAGATACTTTCCATTTTGGTAAGAAAAATTCTACCTAGAATCGATAAGTCTCTCTGAGCCCAGTTATTTAAATGAGTTCTACAGGTTTGAATTTTCTCCCAAATATTAAGGTTATCTAAATCATTGTTATTCTTGGTTATATACACACCCAAATATTTGACATTGGATTTAACAGGAATATTAAAAGTGTTAGAAATAGTACAATCATTTAAGGGTAAGATCTCACATTTGTTTAAATTCAGCTTTAACCCTGAAGCTTTCGAGAAAGTTTCAATAATCTGCAGGATTTTCGATCACTGGTGATCTAATCTGCGCAGAACTGGCTCTTCTCGAACACGGCCTGTGATTGGATCAGAGTCTGGATAGGCGGGACTAAAACACCGGAAGTCTTTCCTGAACGACAGGTGTGAAAACCAATAAAATTCCCACCAACGCTTTGGTTACGTGGAGACCGGAAATTCGTCCTGCCTCCTCAGGTCGGACTTCCTGCTTAAGCTTGTTTTGGAGTTAGGATGGCCGAGGATCTCGCGCTGTCTGTCCGGGTTTCTGAGATCCGGGACCCGGCGGTTCTGTTTGAGCGGTACAACATCGAGGAGATCCGTCGAGTCGAACGCAGAGTCCGCGGGGAAATCGAGCAGAAGAAGGAGGAGCTGAGGCAGATGGTCGGGGAACGGTACCGGGACCTGATCGACGCCGCCGACACCATCGGAGAGATGCGACAGTGTTCGGAGAGCGTGGTGCGGTCCATCCAGGACATGCAGCGGTTCTGTCACACGCTGAAGCAGGGCAGGACCAGCGGGGGCGGTTCCAGACAGGAGGTGAGCCGAACCGAACCCAAACCCAGAACCACTCCTGTCAGTGGTACAGGACCCGCTCTCAGTCTGAGTCTGTGTGTCCTGTAGAACCGGAACCAGGTGCAGGAGAAGTTCTACACTATGGCATCTCAGATCAAGCTGCTGCTGGAGATCCCAGAGCGCATCTGGAGCTCCATGGAGGCGTGCCAGTACCTCCAGGCGACCCAGCTCTACCTGCTGTGCTGCCACCTGCACGCTCAGCTGCAGCTGGACTCCTCCTCGGGGGGACGCTACACCCCCATCCTCACCCGCTTCCCAATCCTGGTCCGGCAGGTCGCCACCACCGGACAGTTCAGGTACCAGATGTTTCCTCTGACAGGGTCCAGAGCTGGGTTGTGTTTAGGAGCAGTTGTGTGGTCTACCTGCAGGTCAGCCATCCTGTTGGACAGCAGGTCCCTGCTGCGGTGCCGGGCCGTGTCAGACCAAGCCATCGCTGAGGCTCTGGTGTCCACCATGCTGCTGGAGGACAGCTCGCCTCGCCAGGCCCTAGCAGAGTTCCTGCTGGCCCGCAAAGCCTCCATCCATCAGCTGCTAAACCAACCACAGCACGGTCTGCATCCGAGCACACCATGGCCCAACGTGAGCCACCAGAGGTTTGTTTGGATCACAGATGTGTTTAATGTTATCCAGGTGCGGGGATCAAGGCCCAGGTGTGCAACCTGGTGGAGCTGCTGGTCACCACTCTGTTCCAGGCCTACGCTGTCTTCTATCTGCCCCCAGAGGGAGTCTCCAGGTCATCTGAGGGGGTTCTGAGCTGTGGGATGCTCTTCTCCATCCTGGAGGACATCACCTGTGGCCCCCCCACAGGTAAACAACACCGTTCACACACTGTAGGGTTCTGAAGTTGTGATCAGGTTTGTGTGTGATGAGCGAACCCCCACACACACCTCTAGAGGTTTACCTCAGCATCAGTCCATCAGCTGATGGTCTTTCATCTGTCCTCTCCTTAGCCAAAGGCAAGAAGGTGCTGCAGGAGGAGACCAGTACCAGCACTTGGTTCCGATACCTGCCTCCATCCATCCTGGAGTTCCAGCCTACGCTTCGAACCCTGGCTCAGCCTATCCAAGGAGAGCAGCTCCGGGACACCCTGCAGCAGTGGATCAACACGTGAGTCCTGGGTCGCTGGACCTCAGACAACCACCAGGTCACGTTACCACCATCAGTAGTTATTTCCACCATCACTGGTTTCAGACTGGTTCCAGCTCGTTCTCCTGTATTCTTTCCAAACCTTTTCATGAAAATGATGACGATGGATTCATTTTCAGCTGGTCAGACTTGGCTAAGCTGCTGGAAGTCCTCCAGTGTGACTGAGTCCACATCCCTCATCAGCCTAAGCCCCTCCCCTTTCTTTACCACCTGGGACCTCTGCCAGGTACAGACACAGGTTCATGAGTCGGTCACCTGAACAAAAACTCGACTGTCTTTTAAACAACGGTGATCCAACTTTGCTGACAGGGCTGGTTTCCAGGGTTGAGCGATGGGCTGAGGCGTTACGGTTGCTTTTTACAGGAGACCATTTGTTTGATAATTGACTTATTTATTTGCCCGTGAGTTAGTTTGTTTTTGATATGGTACACGTCACGCACAGAGAACATCGTGGAGGAGACTATCAAGAACAGATCTCCATCAGTATTGTATTGTTCGTGTTACTGGAGCACTCTGATCAGCTTGACGAGTGGAAAAATTCAACAAATCGCCCAACCCTACTGGTCTCTGTCCATCTAACCCCCCCCCCATCTTAGGTCGGGTCACAGGGCAGCAGCCTAAGCAGGGAGGCCCAGACATCCGTCTCCCCAGCTCCTCCGGGTGAATCCCAAGGTGTTCCCTGGCCAGCCGAGACACATAGTCTCTCCAGCGTGTCCTGGGTCTACCTTTAGGCCTCCTCCTGGTTGGATGATGTGGTCCTGTTGGCTTCATCAGAACGTGATCTTCAGCTTTCGCTGGAGCGGTTTGCAGCCGAGTGTGAAGCAGCTGGGATGAGAATCAGCTCCTCTAAATCTGAGACCATGGTCTTGTTTCGGAAAAGGGTAGAATGCCTTCTCCGGGTCAGGGATAAGGTCCTGCCCCAAGTGGAGGAGTTTAAGTATCTCGGGGTCTTGTTCACGAGTGAGGGAAAACTGGAGCGTGAGATCGATAGGCAGACTGGTGCTGCATCTGCAGTGATGTGGGCGTTGTACCGGTCTGTCGTGGTGAAGAGAGAGCTGAGTCAGAAGGCGAAGCTCTCGATTTACCGGTCGATCTACGTTCCTACCCTCACCTATGGTCATGAGCTTTGGGTAGTGACCGAAAGAACGAGATCGCGGGTGACATGAGTTTTCTCTGCAGAGTGGCTGGACTCTCCCTCAGAGATAGGGTGAGAAGCTTGGTCATCTGGGAGGGGCTTGGAGTAGACCCGCTGCTCCTCCACATCGAGAGGAGCCAGTTGAGGTGGCTCGGGCATCTGGTTAGGATGCCTCCTGGACGCCTCCCTGGTGAGGTTTTCCGGGCACGTCCAACCGGGAGGAGACCTAAAGGTAGACCCAGGACACGGTGGAGGGACTATGTCTCTCACCTGGCCAGCGAACGCCTTGGGATTCCCCCGGAGGAGCTGGCCTAGAACGGACTTTTCTAGCATCAGCTACAGGTACCCCCACAGGGCCCCCCCGAGGGATGTGGTCGAACGCATTCTCCTAATCCACAAGAATCATGGAGACAAACTCCCACGCACCCTCCAGGACCCCGCTAAGGGGATAGAGCTGGTCCAGGTTCCACGACCACGATGAAAGCCACATTGTTCCTCCTGAATCATTCACAGCTGATCTGGGTTACGTCTGTCTGCACCTGTGATGTCAGAAGTCTTCAGGTCACCTGATGACCCACAAGTCCACGTGTGTCTTCTCAGTGTCCTGCTGTTGCATTTGACAGGCGACGGTGGAAGGTTTAAGGCCCGCTGCCCCGCGTTGGTCAGGGAGCCCCAGGGCAACTGTGGCTACGATGTAGCTCATCACCACCACCGTGTGAATGACTGTTTGTGTTGTAAAGTGCCTTGGGGGGGTTTGGGGTCTGGTAAATCGCCTTCGGCCATGAAAGAAAACCCCAATCTGGAGTCTGATATGTCTGATGGACGGGGAGGTAACCAGCTTCTTCTCGTCTCCTATCCAGGTGTAAGGAGGACATCTGTCAGGGGGTTGGTACCCTTCTGGTCTATGTCTGCAGCCTTAAGGGACTAGCAGCCATCAGGGATGCCGTGTGGGACCTCCTGTCCACAGAGTCCATCAGTCAGCACTGGAGCAGCGTGTGTCAGCAGCTCCTGGGGTGCCCCCTGGCGGTCTGGGAGGACTTCCTGCAGCAGCTCTTCCTTCAGCGCCTGCAGGTTGGTGATCTTCCAGCTTTAGACTATTGCATTTATTTAGAGTTTGAATTTATCACTAACCTGTTAACATGTCGGCCTTTTTCTGTTTCTGTCGAAGGCGATCACCAAAGATGAAACTGAAGCCATCGCTGTAAGCTCGGTCCAGCTCCTGACTTCAGCTCTGAAGGATCTGGAGGACCAGAACATCTCATTATCTACAGGAACCAATCCTGGTTCTGGCCAAGGGGTCCAGTATGAGTTTGACGTTGCCTCCTTCCTGTGGTGTGAGTCTGCGGGGGACTTGCAGAGTGATGCAGCTTGGGTCAGCGTTGCCCAGCGGAACCAGCAGCAGCAGAGAAGTGGCCTGGCCATGAAGACCCAGGCACTCACGCCTTGTGTTCAGAACTTTTGTTCTTCTTTGGATGCAAAGCTCAAGTCCCGGCTCGATGATCTTCAGCACTACCTTCCCACTCTGGATACAGGTAGGTCCGGTTCAACGTCGCACAATCCTTAACAACAGCTCTAACTCACCCTGTCACTGAACATTCAAGGACTCACCATCTTGACTCAAAACGGGGAAGACTGTTGTTGGTTTAGCAGAGAACGTCTCCGGAGGCGGTGGTAGAGTTGTGCCCCACTGAGATTGTGTTGCTAGAACTAGCTGGACCAATCAGTGTTGTCTCTGTAATTCTGTCCCTCCAGGGCGTGAGTCCAACCCAGTGTCCATCTCTTCCTCCGGACCTTCGGATGTCTCTGCTTCCTCATTTAACCGCTTCACAGACTCTTCGGCGGTGGAGGAGGCCCTGCGTGGTGGCTGCGTGTCCTGCATCCATCACATTCTGAAGTCCATCCGCTCTGAGCTAGCCGTCGCCATTCCAGGCGCCACGCCCGCCCGCCTAAGCTCCGCCCTTTTTGTGGCTCGGCTGTGCCAGTCTTTGGGGGAACTCTGCCCTAACCTCAAGCATTGCATCCTGGGAAGACACAGCAGGGCTGACGCTACAGGAAGTAGGACTCCCAGGCAGGGCAATAAGCTGGGCAAATCCAAGATGGCTGCCGAGGTCAGCCCTGCACAGGCCGAGTGGAAAGAGCTGAAGCAGGAGCTTCTCAGCTGCAGCATGGAGGCATACCGCATCTGGAGCTCCGCCCTCACCAAAGTATGAGCCTATCAGAGGTGACGATGCATGTGTTGGTTTCCTTCTGGTTCTTACATGACCTGGTTAAGACCTGATCAGGTCCCGACACCTGAAACCTGAACCCGAAGGAAGATTCATGCCTGTAGCAGTAAAACCAGGAGCCTCATGCGTCAATCGTACTCACACACAGATGTGTGCGTAGGAACTAAATGACACATCGTGTGGTATTCATCGTTTTGTACCGGTGTGAGGAAATGTTCCTAAACAAGAAAACTTCAGACCATGTGGGAACAGCAGCTAGTGGTAGAACGGGGAACCGCAACAGCGAAGGTCCCAGTCATCCACACAACATGTTCCTCCGTGATTCTGCCCGAGATGCGTTAGATAAAAGAACGTTTCTATATTATCGTTTCGGTTAGTCAGAGCTCCTCTCTGGAGGAAACGCGTCTCCGTGAGCGCGCTGACAGGAGATCCGCCTGGAGCTCTGCTGGGATTTGGATCCTTTGTGGAGCGACAGATAAACCGCACAAATCCGGCTCCAGTCCGTGCTCCACCCCTGCTCCCCATCATACACGCGTTGTCACGGTAACAGACTGAATGACAGCTAGGAGGCTGCACTCGGACTTTTCCAAATAAAGCAAACTCCATGCAGAAGGACTCCTTAAATGTAAAATGTAAATGACAACCCGTTACTCTTCGGTTCATCATTAAAGTTTTTATTCCTGACAGGAACCTCTGCTCTGTCTCCACCGCGTTTATAACCTCTGCTGCTTGTTTGGTTCTTTTGCACTTCGGCAGAAAATGTCTCTATCTCACACGTTTTCTTTTTCCGGGTAGAAAGCAGGGAATCCCCTCACGAGCTGAGGACGCAGCGTGACCAAATATGGTTAACTGAGGGCGTTCCTGTATGGAAATGAGAACGGACACGAGCTCCTGGGTACACACAGGTGGGATCCATCATCAGACGAGTGTGGAGGAACGTGCGTACGAGAGGCCACCGCGTGTTTCGTAAAGCAGGATCGTGATCGTTCATTCGAACATTATAAACTCTGTTCATAGGAAGGAATTTAGGAACATTTCTACGAACGTTAGATGAATGAGGCCCCAGGTGTGTTGGTCCAGGTGTGGTTAACTCTGGTCCTGGAGAGCCACTATCCAGCATGTTTTAGTTGTTTCCCTGCTCCAGCACAGTTGATTCAGCTGTTCAGCTGCTCATCAAGTCACCTGCTGATTTAAATGAGGTGTATTGGAGCAGGGGAAACCACCAGAACCTGCTGGATAGTGGCCCCCCGGCACCAGGATCTCCCATCCCTGAGTTGGTCTGTTGCTTTGTACCTGAGGGACCCGGGCCTTCCGAAGCCACCTGGAGGCTCCTGAGCTTCTTCTGAATGCTGCTAAAGGAAACTGGATGGTTACATTCATGGGACCGGAGGCTTCCTGCCGTTCTTTTCCTGCAGCAGCAGCATATCTGGACCAGTACTTTGCTTTGTTGATGGTCTCTGAAGCAGCAGGAGCTTCATTCAGCGAGCTTGCCAGTTCATTGGTTTCTCTCAGGCTAGCGACGCTAGCTCGGTTAGCCTCTGTCCCATAGCGAGTCGGATCCACCAGATGATGTCTGAGGTGCTTTAGGAGGAGGACACGCTTTGGTCTGTAAAACGGCTGACTTGATGACTTTTTAACCCTGAGTCGTGTCTGACAGGGGCTACTGGGCGCCTTCGGTGCTGCGCTGCATGCAGAAGCTGCTGGTGCAATTCTGACTGCTGCCACTAACTGGGAGGACCTGGAGATCCAGGAAGAGACGGAGTCGGGAGGCAGTGTCACCTCTAAAATCCGTCTTCCGGTCCAGGTGAGCTGCTTTCTCAGACAGCGATGTGACTCTGTGGTTCTGTTCGCTCAGGAGAATTCTTTCCTTCTGCAGCCATCTTGGTTCGTGCAGTCTCTGCTCTTCCAGCTTTGTGTGGAGGTCAATAGGGTGGGGGGTCACGCCCTTCCTCAGCCCACCTTACAGGAGCTGCTGCAAGCCTGTCTTAGTCAAAGTCTGGACCAGTACCAGAGCTTGTCAGCGCTGGATTTTACCAAGGTAAACGCACCTTTGTCCTCCAAACATTAGAAAGTCCAGGTGTACGGCAGCAAAGAGCGTTCCATGACAGGAATTTTTGTCGTGCTCTTTGATCAGGACGGGGTCTTCCCCATGACCCAGAACCGAGCCCTGCAGCTGCTGTTCGACCTGCGCTACCTCAGCGCCACCCTGGGCAGCCGGCTGGAGGACGGGAAGAGCTCTCGTCCGAACCAGGAGCCCAGGTAGGACTCGCCGCAGTCGCGTCACATGCGGCTGGTAGGCCTGCTTCACACCGAGCGCGGGACGGAGGCGGTCCAGTTTCCGTACAGCGTCCAGACTGACTCGTTCACGCCGACTGCAGCTTGTGTTCTGAACGTCTGCATATGTCTGCTCCCATAGGAGCTCCAGATGATTAGAAATCAGATACGTAAACCTGTAAAATAACCCCAACTATCGGACTCTGACCTGATTTCCTGTCATTAATAATAAAACTAAAGCCGGCAGAAAGAATGAGACACAGGTTTTATTTTGAAATATACCGGATGCACCTTGCTGAAGTGTGTCTCGCTTCCTGTCTGGCTCGTGTCATTTCTTTAACTTTATGATCCGCATGCAGCGTCTGGGAAAAACCGAGTCCATGTGGAAACTTTCCCGAGCTCGGCATCTCGATCCGTACCACAGCCGGTGTGAATGCTCTGAATGGACTCGAGGGTTTTTGATCAACGCGTAAGCCGTACGCAAACCGGGCCGCCTCCGTTGTGAATGAGTCTTCGGAGCGTAGCCGGTGAAGAGGAGGTCGGGGTTCTCCTGACTTGGTGGCGCGTCAAACGTAAACGGCTTTCCTGTCATTTGTGAAAGAGGCAAAACAAGTCGAGGCTTGAAGGACAAGCCCTTTACCAAATCTGTCTAATGGAGCTGCTGCGGTGTGGGATTAAAGTCATTTCGCGCTGGGATGCATGGAGTCTGCATCCTGTTCCTAGTCAGGTGCAGGTCCGAGTTCCTGTTTCTGCTGTTGGAGTGCCTCAGTGTCAGAAGAGCAGGGGCACGTCTGCAGCTGCTAATCGGAGAACACCACTTTATTCTTCTCTGGTGTCTCTTCTAGATTCCACAAAGTCTGTGATTGGTTGGAAGGTTTCATCGACCCGTTTGACTTGGATGTGTTCACTCCTCCGCTCAACGCCAACCTGAGCCGCCTGACCCAGAGAACCTCGGTACTTTACCTGATGCTGCTCATGTGGTAGGAGGCGGTTCTGTGTGTTCTGAGCCGGTGGGTCTGGTGTGGGTTTCAGGTGCTGCTGGGCCTGCTGACGGGATCCGAGAAGCAGTTTTCTCCTCGGAGCAGCGTGGCAAACTCCCAGGAGCCGTACAACATCCTGCCTCTGGCCAGCAGCCAGATCAGGTCAGAGGTCCACTCACGTGTGTGTGTGTGTGTGTGTGTGGGTTAAAGGGTTGCTGGTTTAAAACTGCATCTGGACCACATCTGCAGAACCTGTGTTGTGATCCAGACCTTTGGGTCAGAACTCTGAATGTTTAAAGTCTTTCATGACGGTTTTGTGGTCTGCAGGTTCGGGTTGTTGCCCCTCAGCATGTCCAACAGTCGAAGGTCCAAGTCCTCGTCCATAGGAGTGGACGCTTCTCAGAACACGGTGAGGACCATCCAGACTCTGGTTCTGATCCGGTTCTAGCTTGTTCTGACATGTATTCTTTGGTCTTATTCAGTCTTCTTTGTTATTTGGTTTCCCAGCATTTCTGAGCCTCCCAGGCAAGTTCATCTGTGTGTGTGTGTGTGTGTTCGTGTGTGTGTTCGTGTGTGTGTGTGTGTGTGTGTGTGTGTGTTCCTGTCTCAGAAACAACTGAGTTCAGCCACAACAGAAGTGACTCTGATCACTGGTCACTAAGTATGTTTTATGATGTCAACAGTGTGTGTGTGTGTTCAGGTGTGTGTGTGTGTGTGTGTGTGTGTGTGTGTGTCTGTGTGTGGGAGAACGTTTAGCCCATTTGTCTGTGAAGGTTCTCAGTCATCCAGGTCATTGTAGTCTAAAGGTTGGTTTATGCTTGACGCGTCCGCGAGGTCCGCACGGCTCCGCGCAGAAAAGTTGCGTCATTTTAACAACCACGCCCCTCCACCGCGTCTCCGCACGGCCCAAGATTTCCGCAACGCGCACCTCGGAAAATTTCTAACCACACGGACGGACGGACGCGGAAAAACATGGCAGACCGGCAAGAACTAGTATGGCAGAGGTTCATAAATACAGACATTTGTGTGATTCAGCTCTCAGAGATCACTGTGATCAACATGTTGTTAATAATTCTTGGAGAGAAATAGCTCGCACTGTCGGAAAAGACGAGGACGCTGTTAAAAATGCTGGAATGCCGTGTTGTAAACAGTAATTTCTACTTCTACTATGGTGTAGTGTTGGATGCATGCCGTAGAGCTCCATGCTGCCCCCTACAGTTTGGGAGAATATTGGCTCACCGCAGAGACAAGCCGCACAAACCATAAACGCTGCAAGTTGTGAAGCGCGTTCCATCCGCGAGCCGCATCACCGCGCGTAAAATGAATGCATCAAGCATAAACCAAGCTTTAGGAGCTTGAAAGAAAAGCGTCTGGACTTCTTTGAGTTGCTTGAAGACGTTTCACCTCTCATCCGAGAGGCTTCTTCAGTTCTAAGGTCAAATGGTGGCAGTGTTGCCAGATCCAAAATCCCACAATATTGTACAGAGAGGTCTAAATTATCGTTTTTCAGTACAAATTATCGTACATTATAAATTTGATAATAACGTTCTATAAACGACTTCTCACTCCAATATAATATAACAAAGAAGGTGTTTTATATTACCCTGTTTAATAAACATCTTTAAAACCAGTAATATAATGCCTATAAACATGCAGAGTGTGTCGGCACCACTCCGACCTCCACGCATTGACACAATATGCACATTTGCGCGGTCCTATTTGTTTCATTTCTACATAGGTTAAAAGCACGCGACAAAACATCACAGCAGTGGAAAAACTGACACAATAAATGACAAAGCAGCCTACTCACCTAGTTGCTGATCTCGATCTCCATTTGATAGCATAAACCTGTAAGCACTAAGGTGAAATCTGACTTCAGAACAGTTTAAAATTATGCAATTGACTTGGGAAAGCCACAGCAAACGACAGTGATACTAGATGCAATGTGAAATTATCGTATATTTGAGGATTTTTGAAACTATTGATCGTACATCATACAGAGCCCAAAATTATGGTACAAATACGATAATCATCGTACATCTGGCAACACTGAATGGTGGAGAGTCCCAGATTTAAACCCAGTGGGAGTGTCCCCCCGAAGAGGAAACAAAAGACCCCCTGATGATCTTCTACATAAACACATGAGCCAAGGTGTGAGGGTGGGTGTGGGTCCTATTCAGCCAGAGTTTCGGGTGAGCTCATTGTGAAGCCTGGCCCCACCCTATCATGTAAATTCCTGAGGTCAGATAGCCCAGGATATGCGTGGGCGTTGAGGCATCTGGGAAGGGATCTCAAAACTGGATTATAGATGGCAGACAGTTGGTGTCGTAAACCACCGCCTTTTTAGCGTTTAGCCCATTTACACTTTGATCAGCCTGTCCTGGGCCAGGTGGGTCGGCCCATCCCTGCACAGACAGGTTGTGTTTACACACCTTCTCAGGAACGTGGGCAGGTCCACTAAAGTGACACGGAGAAGTCCTTGTTGTTCTTCCTAAGCACCACGTGAGCACGGCCGTGAGCGGTGTTGGTTCCGGAGACTCTGACATGAAGCACGCAGCTTCCTACTGTCTCACTGAGCAGCGCTGCTGCCGTGGACTCCTCCCACAGCAGTCGGTCCTCTTGCTCCCGCGGCTGCAGCGGCGGGTCCGAGCTCATCACGCATGCAGGAAGCCGCCAGTCAGATGTTCACACAAGTATGTAGGCGTGAACATCCGCCAGCCAATCAGTCCGTAGGTGGGTGTGTTGGGTCGGCTCCGCACAGACGCCAGCTGTAAACACGATGATTCTAGCAGGGCCAGACCCAGCTGACCCGAGTGTAATGAACGAACGGATCATAAATAGTAAAACCTGCAGAAGTTGGTTCTGATGATCATCCTCACTGTTCTGATCGGACTGGACGGAACCAGCGGTCATCTTCTGATGGGTTTGGGTTAGGGTGTGGTCGTGTGACTCATATTTTAGGCGCAGCGGACCTCTCATGGGCCAGAACATTCTGGCCACATGGAACCGGGGAGGAGGTCCCAGAAACCCGCACTTATTGCAGAACCAACCAGTTCTGGCCAGGAAACAATTCTGGAGTTTGTTTGGATCTTGCTCTTGTCTGAACGTGTTAGCTGTTTTACCTGTGATGACCCCTCTCCTCCTGATGATGACATCACTCTTGTTGCTAGGTTACATCTGAGTTCTGCTGCTAGGGCCCATCTCGGCGCTCCAGCAGGATTCACTAACCTTTCAGCCTCTGACCAGGGCTGGGGAGTCCTGCTCCTCAATGAATGCTGCCAGCATGTTTTAGTTGTTTCTCTGCTGTTGAACCACCTGTTCAGCCTGGTGATCACCTGCTGATTAAACCAGGTGTGTTGAAGCGGGGAAACAGCTAAAACCTGCTGGATACGTTCCTCCTGGACCAGGATTCCCCACCCCTGCAGAGGCCAGGCTGGACCTGAATCCGGGATCTAACTGGACCCTGTTTCTGCTCCCTCTAACAGGTCCCGCAGGTCTCTGCAGCAGGAAGCGATCCTGGTTTCCGACCCGGCAGCCTCTTCAGACAGCTTGCTGATCAGAATGAGGACACGACCTCAGCGTCTCTGTTCAAACTCAGCTGGCTCTCTGGCATGGCCAAATAACCGAGTGCAGACGCAGCACTGTGTACAGTAAAAGTTTAGTTTGTCTGAGGAGAGCTTCTCGTGTGGTTCTGTTCCTTCACTCCAAAAGTCGGGCCACAGTGCCAGCCTAACCTAACAGATGTGTTAAAGAACCTGCTTCAGCTGCAGAAAGAACAGGCGAGTCAGAAGAAGCCGGCCCCTATCCGCCTGTTCCTAGCCCCCCATGAGCCCTTGTGGCGGTTGTTTACATGGTGACCATAGACTGATGATGTCATCTATTTGTGCAAATCCCCTTCTTATGGTCTTTATGGGTGAACACAGCTTAGACACCATTACTATCCCTGTCTACTGCAGAAGAGAGAGGTGGAGGGAGGTTCAAGCTAACACGCATTAGCATTTTAGCTACTTTCTGAATTCAGTCGCCTTCAACGGCGAGGCAAGGAACAATCTTAAAAGCTCCGAGGCTCATCAGTGCCTACATGTAGAGCCGAGTCGGAGCCTTAAACCCCTCATCACCAAGCCTGGGTGTTGGCTTCTACATCAGGTCAGATACTCCAGGTATAACGACAGGTTTTTCAAAACGTTTGACCGTGTTTAATGTTAAACGCCGAGCTCTGTTTTAATCATTTTTCTGCTTGTTAAAATCCTAATTAAGTTAAATTATTTTAGGGTCTGAAGTCTTCATATGTATTTGAGTTCCTTTTATTTCTGGTTGATAAGGGAAGTCCTGGCCCTCAACACTGATGTTCAGCAAAAATGGAATGCAGCCATTCTCTCTCCGTCCGAGGTGCATGTTCCAAGCATCGCTCTTGTAGCCACAAACGTAAATTAGTCTTGGTGTTAGATCAGCCGCCAGCAGCTCAGTGTGTTCCCGAGTCACTCGAGTACAATCGCGCCAAATGTTTAAAAATCCTCTTGAAATGTTCTAGATAACCGTTGCTAACAACCACCTCACCGTGCAACCCATTGGCTATGCGCTACTCCTGGTGTCTCATCCAATGATGCTCGCATCATCGTTTCTACGTGAGCCGGTCCAGGTGGATACAGCCCAGAGAACACCAGTGTTTGTGGCTCCGCCCACCTTGGCTCACGACAGGATAGGCTGTTGGTTTAGCGTCCAGGAAATGGCACAGAACGTCTTGGCTAGTTTAAGCTAACTCTTAGCATCAGCTGCTCCACCACACGGCAGAAGTCCTCCAGGCTTGTGGAGCAAACGGTAAGTGGTAGTCGTGTTGCTGTTAGCCAATCAGAGGAGACATGTAAATACTATTGAGAGACTCAACCCCCCCCCCCCCCCCACACACACACACACACCTTTCTGACTAACTTCTACTTCCTGAAACAGCACCAGAGCTGTTTAGCTACAGAAAACGACTCACAAGGCTTTCCTTCACACTAGAGACCAGCAGATTTATTGGAAAAACACAAAACAAGTGAAGGAGAACTTTTAACGGTTCTGCAGCCTCCTGTGGTCCTGATGAGATGAACCCAACATCTCAGCCTGTGGAGCTGTTCGTCTACACACCTGCTGTATGTTCTGAGTCTGCAGCACTAAAACTGCAGTTTTCTGCCACTACGAACATGAAACAACAGCCTAAGAACTCCTTTCCCATCAGCCCCTCTGCCTGCACGTACTCTAGAACCAGGACCGGTTCCTCGCTAGAACCGATTTGGGCTCCATGTTCAGATGAGGCTGATTTCCAGAAGCCCTAAATCCGCCCCTCGTCTACTTCTTCCTGTCGATTTTGCTCATCACCGCTTTGACATCGACTGGAGCGGAGGCAGCAGCAGCCTTGGCCTTCTCCTCCTCCTCCTGCTGCCACAGAATGATGGGATGGATTCCTGGGCTCCGGTTCTGAGCGTTCTGCTGCAGCTGGGCTGGGCTGGAGTGGAACAAACATGAGTGGCTGGGGTCAGGGGTCATGAGGAAGTCAACACACATCTGTAATGATCTAATAACCTGCTTAGTCAGAGGTCCACGTATGGTTGTATGAAACACCTGTTTGGACCCTACAGAACCTTTTGGTTCTGGAAGATCTCAGGTTTAGTACTTTGGTCTGATCGACAGTTCACACTGGAGTTTTAACATCAGCTGATTTAGAGTCCATCAACCTGATCAGTTCAACTCAGTTTATTTATAAACACCAAATCAGGACCAGTCGTCTCAAGGACCTTCACACGGTAAACACTCCAACACAGGTCAGGTCATTAAGCCAATCAGTAACAAGTTTCCTATATAAGCAACCCAGCAGGTCGCATCGAGTCACTGACTAGTGTCAGAGTCTTTACAGCAATCCTCATACTAAGCAAGCATTTGGCGACAGTGGAGAGGAAAACTCCCTTTTAACAGGAAGGAACCTCCAGAGGATCCTGGCTCAGCCTGGGGGTGGAGTTTTAACCCGTGAAGAACAGATCACAGCGCTGTAAACTAGTTCATCCCAAAGCAACCTAAAGGTTCTTCAGTAACCTCTAAAGACGACTTTTTCACTCGTGTGAGGAATCAACAATATCAGGGCGAGTTTTGCGCTGAGCGTCGTGTCGTATGCAGGGGATTACGAGAGGCGATTACCACGTGACCAGCTACCGATCAGCAAGCCCTTGTGAGTGCATCACACACTTGAAGCAGCACTACGAGCGGCTGCGACCCAAAAGGTACCGGAACCGTTCACGGCGCATGTGCAAACGTGTCCACACGGCTTGCCAGCTATTTCCCTACTAACACACGTCGTTCAGTTTTATTTTGACACTTTTTTTTGCACACAGTGACAGGGATTGTCAAGAAAGCGAGTTTATTTCAAATGAAACTGATAAAACGATTTATTTTCTTTCGCCTTCCTCCTCCAACCCCCATGAATCCCTGTGTCGTCTGGCTCGCTGAGTAAAAACGGCTATTTTTAGCATATTTGTAGGTCTGACATGTTGCTACCAGCCACACAGTGTGAGCGAGCACATGACTCGTGAGATTTGCTCTGCGAGGAAGTCGTGCAGTTTGAGCTGAAGCTGAACTGGTATTAGCCAATCATCTCTTTCACGACTGACCTCCTCACATCACTCCTGTCCTTGCTGCACTGGCTCTTGGTTTGTTTTAGAATTGGTTTTAAGATCCTTTCACTAACTACTACTGCAACCTTCTGCTCAGCCCAGATCACTGCGCTCTGAGCGTGAGGACCTTCTGGTGAGGTAGGTGAGCAGAGGAGAAGCTGAGATCTTCCCTTCACATGAGACTGACCACCTCAGTGGCTTTAAGATCCTTTAAAAGCTCTTTTAGATTCATTGGTTTTCATCACGAGCTGAAGTGTTTTTATCACTGCTGATTGTAGTTTGTGTGCTATGAAGGCTTTGGCAGGCCACAGTTGTAATAATCTGTTTTTCCTGGTTAAATAAAAATGTTTTTGTGATGACGTGTCGTGCAGCGCCTTGGTCAAAGCGTCGTGTAAATGTGCCACATGAATAAAGTTGAGTTGAGGTATTCCTGATGTGCAGACAGCTGTTGGCTGCAGGTTTCTTGTGGATTTGGATTCTTTAGTTTCCGTTGGTGAAGAACACCAACCTGAAGCTATGAGTCTCGGGGCTCAGAGCCTTCTTCTGGATCTCTTTGTATGTTGGAGACTTCAGGTAACGGAAGAATGTGTCCTAAAGAAATGAAACGTAAAGCTTTTCCAGTCAAAGCAGAATCTGAGAACATGTCTTCATGAATTATTAATGTCAGGTGCAGCTGGAGGGAAACCTTCTTCATGAGCAAGAAGACGTGTGTCTGAGCTGCCTCCAGGACGTATCGATGAGGATGCTCCAGGCCTTTCACTGTAAGACCCATAGTCCTTCCGTCAATGTTGATCCATCGGGGAGCACCAGGGGCCAGGAAGGTCCTGGACACACACACACACACACACACACACACACACACACACACACACACACACACACACACACACACCTTAGAGGATGGCATCATGTGGTCTAACTCCACCTGTTCCTCTTCAGAACTAATGTTCATTCAAGTATAACTGTGCTCTTGATCTTTGTTCCTGATGTTTAAACAGTGAGCCAAATGGAAACCAACACACACACACACACACACACACACACACACACACACACACACACACACACACACACACACACACACACACACACACACACACACACACACTTCCATACTTGAAGATGGTCTCAGCCTTAGTGGACATGGAGGAAGCCGTGCCCCACTTCAGTTCTTCAGCTGCTTCCCAGAAGGCCAGGTTCTCACCTGGAGGACACACAGTCTGTTAGGTCCTGATTGGACCTCTGCTGTCGGTCAGCGGACATTTCTGCAGGAGCTGTCGGAGGTCAGAGGCCAAACTTGGACCTTGGATGGTGAAATCAGCTGTTTATTGATGTTATTAAGTCCCAGTTGGCATTGCGCCCACCACCATGTGATGTCACCACATAGACCAGGAAATCCTCCAGAACTCTGCTGGAGCAATCACTTTTAGTGGCTAGCAGACGGTTAGCTTCTTATAGAAAGCAGGAATTAGCTCAAATAAACATCTACATGTAGCATGTTAGCATGGCCCATCACTTTCCTGTTGGCTAGGAAGTGTTCACCCTCCTTCCCACTGGCACAAGGCCGAGCAGCATCCTTACCACTGAACTCCTTCTTAAGGAAGATCTTGAAATCATCTCGGCCTCTCAGGTCCGTCAGGAGCTCGAACAAGCTGAAGGACCAGCGTTCCACCCGCATCTTCGTGGGAGCCTCAACTCTGGTGACAGAAAACAGACTCATCAAGTCAAAAAGCTGTGCAATGACAAACATAAAAGACAAACCGGTATGACCCGACGCATAAGAAAACATCTGGAGACAACACTCACCTCCTCATGTTGAGAGTCCAGTACGCATCATGGTCCGTCTGCCAGGGGTTGCTGGGTTGGCAGGGAGCCAGGAATGGGTCGTGGTTTTTGTAGGTTGTGATGTATTTAACCAACCTGTAGAAGCAGCAGCATCAATCCCTTTTAACCAAAGAAGCACCTGGTAGTCATGTAAAGTGGAATGCTTCCTTAGCGGTTTTTGTGTGGAAGGTTCTGGAAAACTTTGGCTACTTGACGCTTAGTAAAAAGATGACAAACGTCAGATATTTTTTAAAGACCAAGTTCACCCCTTTTTTCTAACACGCCTGCAGTGGTCTCTAGAATAAAGGAATCTCTTGTGAATCGATCTCTGTGGGAAAAAAGCTCCGGCCTTCCTGTTTCAGGAACTAGAAGTGTGCTAGATAACAGGAGAGCATAAACCTGCAGGTTTCAGAGCCTTATTTCCTATATTCTCACACCTCTCCTCTGATTGGCTAACAGCAACACAACTCTACCACTGACTCTCTTTGATCTGCAACGTTAATGTTTTACCTCCACAAATAACACAAGCCTGGAGGAGTTCTGCTGTGTGGTGGAGTTGCTAATGCTAATGGTTAGCTTCTACTAGCCAGACGTTTTCTGCTGTTTCCTGGACGCTAAAACAGTCTTCCCTGTCGTGAGTCAAGATGGATTCCATGAATGCTAAGTGACAGTGTGACGTAGATCTGTCAGGTTTTTCTGATCCTAGAGTTTCACCGTCTGTTTTCTATCAGAAGCTACTGCAGGAGAAAGGTGTAGGAGACTATTTTCATGTTCAGCCTGCATGAAAAACTCAAAGTGATGGTTATAATAAAAAATAATCATTAAAAATGGTTTCTCAGTGAATTAGGTGTTCTACTGGTCTCCAATGAAGGCACCAGAGGAACTTACGCTCCAAGTGACACACTAGATTTGACCTTTGACCTCATGATGGCTTGTTGGTAGAAGACGTTCTAGAGAGAGGCAGGAACAGAAAAATGCACGAATCAGGATGCTTCTGAAGACCAGTTCCACTCAGATGTTGTCTCCTGGCTTCTAACTGATGCGAGGAGACATCAGCAGCTTCCTTCTACATATGGAACTTACCACACGTCTGTACTGGTCAAAGGAGATTCTCTGTGAGGAGAGGAGTAGATAAAAACACCTTAACATGATCAGACCACACACAGAACAACAGATTATTCTAGAAGGTCCACAGCTCTGAGGTCCAGGAGGCCTCCATCCTGCAGATGTTACAGACACCACCACAACACTGGGCCACGACACAACAGCTGTGGTCAGACTTTACTTAGCGATTAAAGGTGTAGAGGTTTATGTCACTAATAAAGCAGCTTTGGCTCAGGTGGTCGCTCTGCTGCTGGTGGTCCATCAGGAGCCTGTTGCAGCTGACCAAACCTTCTCCCTCACCCAAGGACCTGGCAGCAGATGCAACCCAACCTCTAAGAGAACACCAAAAAATAACAAACGTTTATTCTAAAGAGGGTCAGACTGCAGCAGCCACTGGCAGAGGTCACAGGGGTCGTTTCTGAGCTTTTCATCCAGAAAAAGCAACTTTCACATTAATGTGAACATTGTACCAGGCATTGGTGATGGATGTGGAGGCCCCATTCAGGGTTGTGACCTCTGACCTGGGAAAGCAGCTCCAACAGATTCCAGGAAAAACCTCAGAGATCTCAGTCCAGAAGGGAGAAGAACTAAGAGCAGCTGAGACACTGAGAAGAACCCTGAAGCTCCCAGCCATGTGGCAGCGAGGAGGGCGGACAGACCTAATCATCTAAACAACTTGGATGGTGTTCTTTTCACCGTCCCAAGTACTCTTGGTTGAGTACTGATTTAATTACTGCATACTTAGTCAAATCTACCAGATGTTACACGCAGCAGACCGTCAGGAAACAGAAGGCTACGTTCTACATCACAGTTACAAACCCACCGTGAGGTCTTAAAGTCCCAGGTTTCAGTTCCACTTTAGTTTCAAACATAACTTATATTTCATTCCAAAGCTTTCCAGATTTCTAGAAACTCTAGCAGATTTCTGATGTGGTTCTAGACTTTTGGACTTCACGGTGTGAACACCACCAGACTCAGAAAACAGACGTCTGTCTGAAAAGATAAAAAACAAGAAGAGAAAGGATTCAGTTAACAAGATTTATTATAGTCTTTGACTACCACACACACACACACAAACACACACACACACACACACACACACACACACACACACACACACACACACACACACACACACACACACACACACACACACACACACACACACACACACACACACACACACACACACACACACACACACACACACACACACCGCCTCCACCAAACGACTGACCTGATACCTCCTCGGTGTTCGGGTCGATGAGTCGTTCTGGGCCACAGTCCAGAGCGCTGTGAGTGCGATGCTGCTCATGTAGAATACATAAACAGGCAGGAAAATCAGTTTTCTGGAAAATGGAACAATCCACCAAAACATTATGACCACTAAGACCCGTTTGAGATGTGTCTGTGTAGAAGTGATGCATGATTCATTTCTCTCTTGTTGAAGATAGCTTCCTGATCAGCCTCTGCTCAGAGAAATAGTGTTTACCTTGTGCAGGACTGATGAGCTACAGTGGATATAGGTCCCTACACCCCAGCAGGTCCCTGAGGTCCAATGATCAAAGCCTACTGGTTGTGCAGCACCAGGCTAAAGACCAAAGGTGACAGATCATTTACTGCTGTGGCCCCCAGACTCTGGACCTCTCTCCCCCTGAGCCTGAGATCAGTGGACTCAGTGGTCTCCTTTAAGAAGCAGCTGAAGACTCAGGGTAAGGGTGTCCTTTTATTGTGGGCAGTCTAAGGCATGCCTGTGCATATTCGTGCTGTCTAATCAGCCCCTTGATATGCCACACCTGTGAGGTGGGATGGATTATCTTGGTAAAGGAAAAGTGCTCACTAACACACATGCAGACAGATTTCAGAACCATACTTGAGAGTCGTGGGTCTTTTGTGCATGTAGACAAAGTTTCAGATGTTTCAGTTCAGCTCATGAAAAATGGGAGCAAAAACAAAAGTGCTGTGTTTATATTCTAGTTCAGTGTAGATTCAATAATACTGATAATCCATATTTTTATGGAATATTACGTTATTGAACACCTTTATATTCTATTGACAATTTATTGAAAGTAACCCCTTACAAAACGTTACAGAGAGCAGCTACACCCTTGCACCCACTTCCCTCTATGGTCCGTGCACCGTTGCTACTCTGAGCCTGACAAGTGTTCTTGCTTCATCATTAGCCTCAAAGGTAACGGCTTTGGTACATTCTTAGTTGTACGTAGTTCTGGATGGAAACGTCAGCTAAATACATAAAAATCTCCCCAAACGGATGGCCGTGGTCTTTTCCTGGGGAGCCAGTCACCGGTCATGGTGTTTGCTGGTGGGGAGGAGTTTAAAGTACTGGGTAAACAGCATGGGAGGGTGGCCTTTTATTCAACACCAAACATCTAAAATAACCCTCAGGAGCAGTTACAGCACCCTGCGTGAGGTAAATCTTCACTGGCTTTCTCTCTGAAACTGGGAGGAAATGAATGGTTTTTGTGAGATCGTGGTCATTTTTCAACTGTTCATTGAATACTTGTGCTTTTAGCACATCGGCCCCATCAATGCTTTTTTCACTAGCAGCCACTGGTGTGTGCACACAAGTCCCCTGACAAAGAGCCATAAACTGACCGGAGGTCTGTTCACCATCCAATAGGCCCTCTCCTGGCAGTCAAAGATGACTCGGTCTGGCTTGTTCCGGTCTCTACCGGCCCTGGAGCACACAAATGTCAGGATATTAAAAACAAAATCCTATATTGTTGTCACTCATTTCAGAAAGTGAAAACCATTTTGTATGCATTCTTTATACTGTACAGAGTGAAGTATTTCAATGTTCAATGAACCACCTTTGGCAGTGGGCAGGTGCCAAAGCTTGTCAGCTGAAGGAAGCATGAAGGTCTCCAAAGCCTCCTGGTAGATGTCTGCATTCACTATGGCCCTCAGAAACCACAGTGGTCCAACACACAACATGGACACAAACCATCACTGACTTAAATGTTCACTCTGGACTTCAAACAGCGTCTATCCTGTTCCTCTCCTCTCTTCTCCAGACTCTGAAACCTTGATTTCCAAATTACCTGCAGACTTTCTGTCACGCACGTGCCTGGCGAGTGGAGCGGAGGTAGGATCCAAACGCGGGGAGGAAGAAGGCGAACAGGTAAGTCCATTTGACATGAGTTTATTAGATAGACACGCTGGACACTGAAACAATGACACGAAATGGAACACAGAACAGAAGGGGTTTAAATACATGAGGAGTGGAAGATATGGTGATTGGGAAACAAGAGGCAGGTGGGAGCAATTAATGGAGACACAGACTACAACCTAGGAGAAGACAGGACAGGGTGTGACAGTAACCTCCCCTCAAAGGGCGAATCCCAGACGCCCACAGGAACCAGGAGCAGGGCGGGAGGAGGGGGACCTGGAGGGATGGCCCAGAGGACGATGGAGAGGCAGCAGGGATCAGCAGAGTCTGGGGGCCTGTGCCTGCGGCAGAAGAGGAGGCGACGGGCCCTTGGAGGCCGGCGCCTGTGGCAGATGAGGAGCTCTGCAGGCTGGGCCAACCACCATTGGAACCGGAGACGGAGGAGACGTCAGACCAGAGGGGACGTCGCACTCTGGACAGGAGGAAGTGTCGACCCTTGGAGGGGAACGAGCGTCGACCTCTAGGGTGAATAAGGCGACTTCGGAGGCGACGTCGACTTCAGAGGAGATGACGACCTCGGACGAGATGTCGAGTTCAGAAGAGACGACTTCGGACGAGACGTCGAGTTCAGAAGAGACGACTTCGGACGAGACGTCGAGTTCAGAAGAGACGACTTCGGACACGACTTCAGAGGAGACGACTTCGGACACGACTTCAGAGGAGACGACTTCGGACAGGACTTCAGAGGAGACGACTTCGGACACGACTTCAGAGGAGACGACTTCGGACAGGACTTCAGAGGAGACGACTTCGGACACGACTTCAGAAGGAGACGACTTCGGACACGACTTCAGAGGAGACGACTTCGGACACGACTTCAGAGGAGACGACTTCGGACACGACTTCAGAGGAGACGACTTCGAACACGGCTTCAGAGGAGACGACTTCGGACACGACTTCAGAGGAGACGACTTCGGACACGACTTCAGAGGAGACGATTTCGGACACGACTTCAGAGGAGACGTCTTCGGACACGACTTCAGAGGAGACGACTTCGGACACGACTTCAGAGGAGATGACCTCGGACAGGACTTCAGAACAGGAAGGGGCGTGGACTTCAGAACAGGAAGGAGCATCGACTTCAGAACAGGAAGGGGCGTCGACTTCAGAACAGGAAGGGGCGTGGACTTCAGAACAGGACCGGGCGTCGACTACCATCGACTTCTGGTCCGGGGGCGTCGACTTCTGGTCCGGGGGCGTCGACTTCTGGTCCTTCGACCTCTGGACCGCCGGCCTCTGGACCGGAACCGGAACTGTCTGCTTCTGGTCCGGGGTAGTCTGCTTCTGGTCCGGGGGCGTCTGCTTCTGGTCCGGGGGCGTCGGCTTCTGGTCCGGGGCAGTCGGCTTCTGGTCCCTCGACTTCTGGACCGCCGACTTTTGGACCGGATCCGGTACCATCTGCTTCCGGGCAGGTACCCTCTGCTTCTGGGCCCGATCCGTCAGCTTATGGGCTGGTTGGGGTGCGGCCTCCGAGACCACCGCCGGAACCGGCCGAGAGAGAACCGACGGTGCCGGAGACCGTGAGAGCAGGGAGAACAGACCGTCCAGCTGCGACTCCCTGAGGCTGAGTGTCCAACGAAGCTGGGCCAGCTCAGCCCGGTGACCGGCGAGCTCTGCTGGGTGAACCCCGGGCTCGCTCCTCTGGCCCTGAGACGAGGAGGATAGAGCATCCAGGTGAGAGTCCTGGAGGCTGATGAGCTGGCAGAACCGGCCGAGCTCCGGCTGGAGCTCTATCAGCCGGGCTGCGAGTGCTGCTCCTCCCCCTGCAGATGACGGAGGCGCCGGTTCTGCAGGAGACGGGACGGGTGGTCTGGCCGGGGGCGTGTCCGAACTGCCGCGCCGGGTACGGCCAGCGGCGGGCTTGCAGCTCCGTCCTGAAGCGCAGGGCTGCGGTGGCTTCCAGTGTCTTTCCCCACGCCGTGGACCAACTCCGGGGGAGCAGATTGCCAGCCTCGTGCCCTCATAGCTGGAGCGATCCAGGAGCGTCTCCCCATCCCAACTCCCGTCCGGTTCCGGAAGGGCGGCGAGGAACGCCGAGGCTGATGGTCGGGGAGGCCGGCGGCGGCGAGGCGGAGCTGGGGCTGGAGAGGGAGAAGCCGGCTGGTGGGTCGGGGTAAGCCACTGGAGCAGGTTCTCCCACGGAAGAATCTCCCCGCTGGATCCTGTAAAGGGTCGTGTCATTCTGTCACGCGCGTGCCTGGCGAGTGGAGCGGAGGTAGGATCCAAACGCGGGGAGGAAGAAGGCGAACAGGTAAGTCCGTTTGACATGAGTTTATTAGATAGACACGCTGGACACTGAAACAATGACACGACATGGAACACAGAACAGAAGGGGTTTAAATACACGAGGAGCGGGAGCTATGGTAATTGGGAAACAAGAGGCAGGTGGGAGCAATTAACGGAGACACAGACTACAACCTAGGAGAAGACAGGACAGGGTGTGACACTTTCATCTGAAAAGAGGACTTTGGACCACCAAGCAACAGCTCTTGTTCTTCTTGAGCCAGACGAGGTGCTTCTGGTGTTGTCTCTGGTTCAGGACTGGACTGACACGAGGAATGTGACATTAGTAACTTCTGTCAAGCCAGATGCAGGAGTTAGAGCATCAAGAGCCACACAGATCGATCCTACGCACGGGTTACAAATGACTGCAGTCAAGCCACCCCTCACTCGATTTTGACATGCACGTGTAGACACGGCATTACAGTACTCCCGCTTAGATCACCTTTCAAAACAAAAGACAACTTCTTGTTCATGTTTGGATGGCTCTTATGGGTGACTGTCAATGTAAGAGTTCCTGGACCATTCAGCTATCCTCCCCATGATTGTGTGGACTACTGTCCCACACGTTGCAGGTTTTTAGAGTTATATGGCTGATTAGGTTGGGACTCCTGGGATTTCCAATTTTTACCTTTCTCATAATATTCAAATTTTCTGCAGCACAAAATTTTGGGTTTTCTTTTTTGGAGCCATAGCCATCAGTTTTACAAGAAACAGATGGACAGGTGTGTTTGTGTGTGTGTGTGTGTGTGTGTGTGTGTGTGCGTGCGTGTGTGTGTGTGTGTGTGTGTGTGCGCGTGTGTGTGTGTGTGTGTGTGTGTGTGTGTGTGCTATCACTTACTTGTACTGTTCAGTGGCTTGCATTACAATAAATTCCCACTTGTGGTTGAGCCATTCATGAAGGTGGTTGTAATGAGTCTGATTAAAACAACAGAACAGGTCAGCATTAGAAGGTGTTGGAACCAGAAATCTATCTAGAACATGGAAGAGAAAACGGTTCTGTATTCGCTTTGTTCTGCCTGACTGTTCACCTGCTCATATGGCTCAAGCTGGCCTTTCTTACGGATGTTCCTCTTTGCCAGGTAAATAGCTAAAATAAGAAGCAAAAAAACAATAGTAGTCATACACAAACATGGCAACCGTTAAACAAAAGGTTTTAATGATATTTTATACAAAACATCTACAAAGGGAGGGTGTAAGTTTGTCTGTGATATTTGCCTGCACTCTCATAATATTTAAGAGGCCCTTCACTTTTATTTTACTACATAAATGGCCTCTAGTAGGAATGAAAGCCTTGTAAGTCATTCTCTAGGGATAAAAGTTGCAGTGTGCCTGTTTCAGCACAGATAATTCAGCCAGAGGAGAGAAAGTAGCTTCAGACGACAGGATCTGGAGTCTTACTTCCTGATATTCATCTCTCCTCTGATTGGCTGACAGCAACGCGACTCTACTGCTGACTCTCTTTGCTCTGCAACGTTGATGTTTCATCTCCACAAAGCCTGGAGGAGTTCTGCTGTGTGGTGGAGTTGCTAATGCTAACAGTTAGCTTCTACTAGACGAGACGCTTTCTGCTGTTTCCTGGACACTTAACCAACAACAGCCTTACTCGTCGTGAGCCAAGATGGGTGAGCCCATGAATGATAAGGACAGTGTGACGTAGATCTGTCAGGATTTTCTATCCTAGAGCTTCGCCGTCTGTTTTCTATCAGAAGCTACTGCAGCAGATAGGTGTAGGAGACTGTTTTCATGTTCAGCCTGCATGAAATCATCAGAGTGATGATTATCATCAGAAATAATCATTTAAAATGTTTCTCAGCGAGTTTGATGTTCTACTGGTCTCCTATGAGAAGGCATCGGAGGACCTTACTTCCAAGTGACTGTACTAGCTCTACTGCCACCAGCTCCCTCATGAATGGATTTTTCTCTGTATCTTCATGTTGTTTATACTCTTTTCTTATGTTATTGGGTTTCTTTCAACTTTTATACAGAACTTTGGACCATCTTGATAGGTGCAGAAAGCACAATATAAATAAAGTTGATGGGTTGGTTGATTGATTGATTGATTGATTGCCTCACAGTTCATACAATAACATTGTACCCACCATAATCAGAATCCTCTGGAACCCATTTCTGTGTTGGCCAGAAGTACGGGGTCTGGGAGAAAAACACAATGATCAACAACGTTAATCTATCAATACAACCTGCTGCAGGTTTTGTTCAGTCAAAATTGTCACAGAGTTTCAGAAAACTGTGAAGGAAACTACAGAAAACAACAAGTTGAATCCTGTTCTGAAGAAGAAAGCCATTATTTATGCTTTCTTCTTGAGAAACCAAACGCTTGGTCTTGCCCAGTTAACTACTACCTAAATGTGACCATCGGCTTTAATGGTTTTGCTCAGATGACATGTATTCCATATAATAAACCTGGTTCCCTCCCAGTTTTTGGTTAGTATCTAAAACTTCGGCTGTCAATTCTCACTGATGATTTTGTCACGTGGGATCTACCGGCTAGCTTTATTCTCTCAATAGCCACTTTTACATGCGCGTAATTAATCAGATTGAATGCCCAATCAGATAAAAAAAATCTGCATGTAAACATGTCAATCGGAATGTTCTGATTCGATTCGAATCAATTGGAATGAAATTTCAATCTGATTGAGTGAGATGGTTTTATCCGACCATCATTCCGATCGCATGTACACAGCCATTTGGATGTTGGAGTAAAATAATACCCACTGCGCATGTGTGCAACAGCTAGCGAGCCTCCCCGCCTTCATTTAGACTGCCTGACTTAAATAAATGACGGCCTAGTTTAATGAGCGCCGGCTTTTAAGTTTGACGACAAGCCATCCCCGTTTCTGTAATATCTAATCTAGAACTTGCATTTTGTGGAAGTAAAATAAAAATCTGATTATTGCACAAATCGTTCAGCTAACGTGTCCAAGTCTGTAGTGGAAACACGCAGATTCATTTCGGGTTTGCAGCACAGATCTGTTTCTGTGAACGCAGCAGCTGTTTCTGCAGCAGGTGGATGGAGATGTGCTTGTAAAGAAGACAGGGTAACATTGGTTAATCGGACCTGATTTGAGTTTAAGGAGGCTGATGTTCAGTAGAAAAACATCCTCAGTTAAATGTTATGGGTGACAATCTTTGTAAAAACATGTTAACGCAGATGAGATGATTCCGGAACTGCGCTGCTCTTGATTCCGGAACTGCGCTGCTCTGAGTGGCTGCATGTTGGAGTAGCTCTGTTGACTATATGTAAGTTTTGCCTTTTCTTGGACATTTTTTCTTCTAGTTTCTCAAGAAAAACAGTATTCTTTTGGACATTTTACTTTTCTGTTTCTGGTGCTGTGAAGCTTGGAGGATTTTTACTGCTATTTTTTCACTTTTTTCACTTTTTGAGCATTTGTTATGATGGCAAAAAGCTGGTTTACAATCGGAAGCAGCTGATTAACATTGGGAAGGCTGAAATAATACCTCAACTGAAGCCACAAATCCCAAATGAGCTAAAACACAAGAAGCGTGGATGCAGAGCAGGAGCAAAACGGAGACAGAGAAAGAGGAAATTCAAACCATCTCTTCCATCGATCATAATGGGCAATGTGAGATCACTGGCCAACAAGATGGATGAACTCCAAGCCCTTTCAAGGACTCAGCCAGCGTATCTGCAGTGTAGTGTTATGTGTTTCAGTGAGACGTGGCTGCAGGACCATATCCCCGATTCCGGCGTCTCTCTGCCAGGATTCCTGACTGTACGAGCAGATAGAGATCTGAAGAGGAGCGGGAAAATAAAAGGAAGTGGAGTGGCAGTGCTAGTCAACAACAGATGGTGCCATCCAGGTCATGTTTGAGTGAAATGTCATCTCTGCAGCCCAGATGTTGAACTCTTGGCAGTAAGTTGTCACCCATATTATTTGCCAAGAGAGTTCACCAGTGTTGTCTTGGCAACCGTTTATATTCCACCTTCAGCCATTGCAGAAAATGCATGTGATGCCATCAGTTCCGTTGTCGCTAAGCTACAAAACCAGCACCCAAATGCATTTGTGTCTATATCTGGTGATTTTAATCATGCCTCACTCTCTGCTACACTTCCAACATTTCAACAGTTTGTCAGCTGCACCACCAGACATTGGATTTGTGTTATGCAAATGTAAAGAATGCATACATGTCCAAAACAAGACCTCCTCAAGGACAATCTGATCACAATCTTGTTTTTCTCTGCTCAGAATACAAACCACTTGTTCAGAGGCAACCTGTGACAAGAAGAACTGTGGGAAAATGGTCACAGGATGCTGAAGAAGCCCTGCAGGTTTGCTTTGAGACCACAGATTGGATGACTCTCTGCCAAGGATATGAAGAGGACATCAGTGCCATGACTGGATGTGTCACTGATTATATAAACTTCTGTGTGGACAACATCATACCCACCAGAACAGTGAAATGCTTCGCTAATAACAAACCCTGGATCACCAGTTAACTGAAGAATCTGCTAAATGAGAACAAAAGAGCCTTCAAGGAGGGAGACAGGGAATTATTGGGGAGTATACAGAAGCAACTGAAGATCAAGATCAGAGACAGCAAGGAGGCATACAGGAAGAAGCTGGAGAACAACCTACAGAGGAACAATATCAGAGATGTCTGGTCAGGGATGAAGAAGATCACAGGCTTCAAGCAGAGGAAGGATTGCACAGATGGCAGCCTGGACACTGCCAATTAACTGAACAAGTTCTTCAATAGGTTCAGTTAAGGAACAAACCCAGCATCCTCCTCGCCTGTCCCCAGCCAATCAGACATCCCATCCTCCTCTGATCCAACATTTTCCTGTCACACGCCAGCTCTGTTTTCCTCTAACGTAGTCATGGACTCGTCTGGTTCTATAAATCTGTCTTGAACCAAGTCAGGAGATGCTGCTGCCCCATTTACCTCCCCCTCCCACCTATCTGTCTCTAGAAGTCAGGTGAAGAGGCAGCTGGAGAGACTGAACAGGAACAAGGCTGCAGGTCCAGATGGTGTCAGCCCCAGAGTACTGAAGGCCTGTGCAGAGCAGGGATTCTGCAGCACCTCTTCAACCTCAGCCTGGCCCAGGAGAAGGTTCCAGTCCTGTGGACGACATCCTGCCTTGTTCCAGTTCCAAAGAAAACTCGCCCATCAGTCAATGACAACTACAGACCGGTTGCCCTGACATCCCACATCATGAAGGTCCTGGAGAGACTCCTGTTGGTCCACCTGAACGAGCAAACTAGAACATATCAGGACCTGCTGCAGTTTGCTTATCGCCATGGAGTTGGAGTTGAAGATGCCATCATCCAGCTGCTTCAGTCAACCCACTGTCATCTGAACAAAGCAGGCAGCACTGTCAGGGTCATGTTCTTTGATTTCTCCAGTGCATTTAACACAATCCAGCCTGATGTACTTTGCCAGAAACTCCAGAAGACACAGGTGGGGGCCTCAACTATAGCCTGGATTAAAGACTACCTGACAAACAGACCACAGTTTGTGAGGCTGAAGAACTGCACATCAAACCAGGCGATCAGTAACATTGGAGCACCACAGGGGACTGTACTCTCACCATTCCTTTTCACCCTGTACACCTCAGACTTCCAGTACAAAGTACAGAGACGTGTCATCTACAGAAATACTCAGATGACTCTGCAGTTGTCGGGTGTATCAGAGATGGACAGGAAGCTGAGTACAGAGAGCTGGTGGAGCGCTTTGTGGCATGGTGTGGAAACAATCATCTGACCTTGAACGTGAACAAAACAAAGGAGAAGATTTTAGACTTCAGAAGAAACAGGGTGGAGTCAAACACTGTTTCCATCATGGGAGAAGAAGTGGAGGTGGTTGAGGAATACAAATACCTTGGAGTTCACCTGGACAACAGACTGGACTGGAGAAAGAACAGCGAAGCTGTTTACAAGAAGGGACACAGCAGACTGCACTTCTTGAGGACGCCTAGGTCCTTCAGTGTCTGTAGCAAGATGCTGCAGATCTTCTACAAGTCTGTTGTTGAGAGTGTAATCTCTTCAGCCATCGTCTGTTGGGGTAGCAGCATCAGAAGCAGGGACCTGAAAAGGCTCAACAGCCTAATAAAAAAGGCTGGTTCTGTTCTGGGGACGACTGTGGAACCACTGGAGGAGATAATGCAAAGAAGGATTCTCCAGAGAATCAAGAAAATGATGGACAACCCTGAGCATTCTCTTCACAAGACTGTCCGACAACGGAAGAGTGTCTTCAGTCAGAGGCTTCTTCAGTTTCGCTGCAACACTGACCGCTACTGGAGATCCTTCCTGCCAACAGCCATTGTAATATACAACAACTCTTTGATGACTTGATTATTATTATTATTCTGAACTATTACAGCAGTCAATTTCCCTCTGGGATTAATAAAGTATTTTTGAATTTGAATTGAATTGAGATGCGGTTCGTTTAACACACGATGAACACAGGCTTCCAAACTTTCCGAACACCTCCTGTTATTTAGTTTGAACCGACTTTTCTCAACAGTTTCAGCTGATTGTCACATTTTATTAATAATAAGCCACAACAGAGAAGAAGAAGAGTGTTTGTTGTACCTGGAAGCGGTAGAGGCTGGAGTCATTGCACATCACCAGTTTATTGTGGTTCTTTAGAGGGTAGATGTAGCCATATGCCACTAGCATGGTACCAAACACTTGAGCTTCTGAAACCCAGAGAAGAAAACAATCATTGAAGTTCTCTGTGCAAATGGTAAATGTCCATTTGGTTGTATTTACAAAGAAAACCACTCAAAAAAATCCATTTTTTTCTTTAACAGAAGCTAAAGGCTAATTAACAAATGTGTACATTTTACAATTAGTGCTGATCCTGCAGTCCTCAGGCAGCAAACAGGCACTGCTTACTAACAGAAATTATGTATTGTTTTATGGAAACTTCTAGAATATCATAACTTAAGAGTATTCAGAAAATGTACATTTAATGATGCAGGGTTTGAGAGTTTTCACATGCATCAAGTGTGAGACAAAAAATGAAAGGAGAAGGAAAGAAAAGTGATGAGTAACTCAACAATGTGCAGGAAAAAATGGATGCACAATTTCAAAAACAGAAAAGAAGAACTTGAATCTCCCAACAATCAGAAGGAGACAATAACAAGAGTTTGAGGAAATGAAAACAATAATGAAAAGTTGACGTTAGCAGCTCTCCATCACAAGATAATCAGTGTGGGCGAGTTTCTGACCGGCCCCCGAAACACCGGACGATCAGCCAGAATCTCCTTGGAGCCGATAGATCCTCTACTTCCAAATTCCTCCCAAACCCAAGATTTTGTATCGACAGCTGCCACTGCTGCACATCGCTCAGCCCTCTGGTCCTTCAGCAACCATGTGCTGTGGGCCTCCTTCAGCCTGATAGCTCCCCTAAACTCTGGTACCCACCAGAGTGTCCAGAGGTTGCTGTCACGATGACCATCAGCAAGCTTAGGGCCACAGCTGGCAGCAGCTTCCTCAACAAGGCTCAGTCAGACTCAGTGCTGTCGGGGTGTGGTCAACGCTCTGCTGGAGGTGGGAGTTAAGGGGTTGACAGGTTTTTGACTCTTGCTGTACGTTTGGAGATCCCCGGTCTAATAGGTATCCATCTGATGGACTGACTGACCACCACCAAGTGGCACAGGACACCCAAAACATGTAAGCACACCTGTGAAACCGGAAGATAACGCCCCTCAGCAACTGTTACATTACCCAGCTCTCACCATCCCAACCCCGACCACAGAAACGACGCCATCTACTTCAGGTCTCTGAGTCCTCTACTGCCAAAACATGTGAATGTGAGTCCGGAGCGACAAAAGCTATTTTCTGATCCAGTCTGATTTGTGCCATGGATTCCACACGTGATGTCCGGGAACCTTTAAAGCACATTTGATGCCAAGAAAGAGATTATTTTCAACAGACCGCAAAAGTTTTTATAGGTTTGTGTGAAAAGACAAAATGGACTCCAGCTGCTTGTATTGTCTGGTCTGATGACAGGAGTAAAGTTTAGCCGACCTTTTGAACTATGAGCTCCCCGGTCCCTGAGGTCCTCCGGTGCAGGCTTTTAGTCGTCCCAAAAGTTAGAACCAAACATACAGCCAAGAATCATTTTCCTACTATGGCTCGTCTGTGGAACAGTCTGCCGGAGAACCTCAGGGCTGCTGAAAGTGTGGATGGTTTTAAAAAGAGGCTCAAGACCTGTCTTCTTGGCTTTTAATGGATCTATTTTAACTCATTTTAGCTGATTGTTTTTCTTATTTGAAGGGTTTTTAACTTCAGTGTTCAGGTGTTTTGTTTGTTTGGGTGTGTGCTGAGTGTGTGTGCAAAGTTAGAAGTGGTCGCGTAATTTTGGGTTTGGGTGTGCAAAAGCTGCGTTTATAATCCTTTTACATTTTTGTAGCATTTTTATGCAAAGCACTGTGCTGATTTTATATGAAAAGTGCTCTAAAAATAAAATGTGATTGATTGATTGATTGATTGATTGATTGGTTGGTTGATTGATTGATTGATTGGTTGACAGATGGAGCATTAACATGAGAAAACCACTCCACATCTATCATCTATAAGTCATGTGGTCAGTAATGGGAGACGAGATTCTGCTGTGACATCATAAATAACACGTCTGATTTGTTGTCATTTTAATTACCAACTTTCACAAACTAATTCATCTTAAATTACGTGACAGACATAGTCGTAACTTTCACCGTTTATCATTTAAACTGAAGAACAACATGTGTGTGATTCAGGGTGTAAGTCAAAGCAGACCAGATTTTATGGCCTCGTTCAGGGAAAGGGAGGAGCCTTAGGGTCCCTACTCTTTGTTCTGATGTATTTAACTATTAATGCTCTAGTTTTATTTTTAGACACAGAAAACCAACTGATCTGAAAGCAGATTGTGAGATTTCATACATTTACAAACATAAAAACGTTTACCTTCCACAGTGGTCTTCATCTTGGTGTTAATCCATGCTATGATGTCATTTCCTGTTTGAACACACACACACACACACACACACACACACACACACACACACACACACACACACACACACACACACACACACACACACACACACACACACACACACACACACACACCGGGGTGTTCAAACACTTATGCTCCTCACTGTACACACAGTTCAATTGTGACTTTAAGTACAACTCTAATAGGACTTTTAAAGGCACAGTTTACATAAACAATTGACGTCGTAGCACAACTCAGTTCAGAGTAGGTGTTGCAGCTACAGTCACCCACACACACCTCAGGGTCACACACAGAAAGCACCGCACATCAGCTTTCAACTGTCTCCATGTTTTATTTACTGCCAACCATCCTATATAAATGACCTGTAGGGAGAGCTCAGTCATGGGGCAGAATGTATGGTTGTCCTTCAAACTGTCTTTGAAAATGAACAACGTGATCTCCTCACCACACACTGCTAAAGAAGATCCAGATACAGCCCTTTTCTAAATAAAGGACTGAAGTACCTCTATCTGCTCCGGAGACAAAGAAAAGCCCAAGTCTAAATAGTCCAGAGTTGATGCCAGAGTCCTTTCAAACAAGCCGCTGCCATATTTGTTGTTTCGCTCTATTGCATCATCTCACCCACCAAACCAGTAGAGCGCTGTCAGGGTCACCTTAACCAGCTGATAGGCCCCAGGGCAAAGAGGCTCAGTAGGCCCCCCCACTGGGGCATTGGTGGAGGAGGTGCTCTAGATCAGTGGTTCCCAACCTTTTTTCACAAGGATCCCCTTTCCCGTGTCCAAGACAAGCCAGTGCCCCCAACCCCTACGCACATGCACACAATCAACAGTGAATAATTGTAAGGTGTTCATCAAACAGAAAGGTGCTCTGGAAAATAGTCGTGGGTTATGGATCAGAGATATCAAGCAACTGGAAAATATTAAGTGATATGGTTACAGTTATGTTGGTCATTCTTTAATTTAGTTTTTTACTTAGTTTGTGGGTGTTGTTGTTTTATTTACTTAAATTTTTTTCTATAAGTAAATTATTTTTTCTTCATGGGTGATTTTGAACAGGACATTGATCCAGAACAAAATTTCCATAGTAGCACACATTCATTAAGTGGTTATTTTACTGACCAACAGTTTAATGCAACTATTAAATATGAGCATGGCTTATCTATCATTCATTTTAATAGCAGAAGTCTTTATGCTCATTTTCAGAATATTAAAGATTATATTGATAATTTTGTGAGGCCGTTTAACATCATTGCAATATCAGAAACATGGATAGATTCAGAGCACGGTGAGGATTTTTTCTTGCAAGGTTACAATTTCCATTGTATCAATAGGAATGGAAAGGGTGGAGGGGTTGCGTTTTTCATTGATCAATCCCTTTCATATAAATTTACTGAAAACTTGTCTATGGTTATTGATGAAGTTATGGAATGTATATCCATTGAAGTGAGTATTAAGCAAACAAAAAACATAGTGATTCATTGTGTATACAGGAAACCAGGAAGTGACATTGACACATTTATTGTTACAATGGAAAGTATTTTAATGTTAAACAAAAGTAAGATAACATATGTGTGTGGAGACTTTAATATAGATCTACTGAAAGCTACAGCACATAAGAAAACGGATGAATTTCTTGAGTCAATGTACAGTATGTGCATGGTTCCCCTCTTTGCGAAACCAAGTAGAATAACTGCTGATAGTGCCACTCTTATTGATAATATATTTACTAATAATGTAGAAAGTATTATACATAGTGGACTATTGATAACAGACCTAACAGATCATCTCCCTGTATTTGCTATCCACGACTGCCATCCAAAGAAAGTAAAACCAGATAAAACTTTAATGTATAAAAGGAGAAGAAAGGAAGAAGATTTACAAAATTTAAAAACGGAACTACGTAGTGTTAACTGGAGTAATATATATAGTGAACATGATGTGAATATTGCGTATAACTTATTTCTGGATATTTACAAAAGTATATATGATAAGCATTGTCCGATGATAAGACATAGTTGTAGAAATCGATATTCAGAGAAGCCGTGGATGACAAAGGGGATCCAAAATGCTTGTAAAAAAAAGAACACATTATATAAGCTATTTATATCACACAGAACTAAAGAAGCGGAGCAAAAATATAAAACATATAAAAATAAATTAATTACTATAATGAGGATGTGTAAAAGGAATTATTACAGTAATTTGATTGAAAGGAATAAAAGTAACATCAAAGGAATATGGAACGTGTTAAATACAATAATCAAGAAGCGTTGTGACGGTCTAAACCATCCAGATTATTTTGTCAGTAATAACAGAGATATTTATGATAGACAGTTGACAGTAGAACACTTCAATGAATTTTTTGTTGGGGTTGGTCCAAAGTTGGCTGACAAAATAAATAGTAATGTGGACTCTGAATCCAATGGTTATGGTGACGGAGACGGTGTGGCGGATTCATTATTACTTGAAGAAGTGACTCAAAAGGATATTCTTAAAATTGTCAGAGCATGTAAAACAACATTTTCATTAGATGGAGATGACATAGATATGTTTTTAGTTAAACAAACTATTGATTGTATTGTCGAACCACTCACGTATATATGTAATTTATCATTTAAAACAGGAATGTTCCCAAATAAAATGAAGGTGGCTAAGGTGGTTCCTCTTTACAAGTCTGGCAATAGGCATCAATTTACAAACTACAGACCGGTCTCCTTGTTACCTCAGTTTTCAAAGATATTGGAAAAAATTTACAATGATAAGCTGGAAAAATTTGTAGAAAAAAATGGCATTTTATTAGACAGTCAGTATGGTTTCAGATCAGGTAGATCTACTGCACAAGCTCTAATGGAATTGGTTGAAGACATATCCACATCGCTTGATCAGAAAAAATATGTTCTGGGAATTTTTATTGATTTGAAGAAAGCCTTTGATACAGTCGATCACAAAATACTTTTATCAAAAATGGAGAAGTATGGTATAAGGGAGACAGCTCTCAATTGGCTAAAAAGTTATTTGAGTAACAGAGCTCAGTATGTGCAGTTGGACTATCACAAGTCTAGCTGTCTCGAAGTTCACTGTGGAGTTCCGCAAGGGTCGGTACTTGGCCCAAAGTTATTTCTGTTATATATAAATGATATTTACACAACTTCAAAATTATTTAAATTTATTATGTTTGCTGATGATACAAATATTTTGTGTTCAGCAGAAGATATACAGCAACTTATACTAAAGGTCCAGAATGAATTGAGTGAGCTTAAGAATTGGTTTGATAAAAACAAACTGTCGTTACATGTCAGCAAAACAAAGTTTATGTTATTTGGAAATAAAAGAAGTAGTAAAGAAATCTATTTGACTGTTAATGAAATAGCCATTGAAAGAGTGTATGAAATTAAGTTTTTGGGGATATTGATTGATCATAAGCTCTGTTGGAAGCCATACATACAATATGTGTGTTCTAAATTAGCCAGAAGCATTGGAATAATAAATAAAACAAGATATTCTCTACCACAGAAAGCACTACACACACTTTATTGTACTATGATTCTACCATACTTATCATATTGTGTCGAAGTATGGGGCAATACTTATAAATCTAATTTATTAAAGATTTGTGTTCTCCAAAAAAGAGTGGTAAGGATAATTATAAATTCTGGATATAGAGATCATACAACTCCATTATTCTACAATTTAAGATTACTCAAATTTTTTGACTTAATTCAATTTAAAACTGTCCTTGTACCGTATAGGGCCATGATGGGTGTACTGCCGTGTAATTTGCAAAGGTTGTTTAAAACTCATGAAGAGGGTTATGAATTGAGAGGCGTTAAAAACTTCATTTTTCCATTATACCGAACAACTATGAAAAGTATGTGTGTATCTGTATGTGGTATCAAACTGTGGAACAAACTTGATGTGACTTTAAAATTATGTAAAAACATTAGATCATTTAAAATGTTGTATAAACAACTTATAATTGACTCATACATAAATAGCAAGTGATAAAAATGGTAATTGGCTTCAAATGGAATATTTTGTTTTTGTTGTTTATTGGTTTTGTTTTCTTTTTCTGTAGATTCATGTGAACAATTGTTTTGTAACTGTCTTTTTATGTAGCAACTAGCAAGGTGAAGATAGAACGACCTGCATAAAGAAAATTTTTTTTTCTTTCAAATTTGTTAATGTGAGCAAATGTGATTTATTAACTGAATTGGGGCTGGACTAGATAAGCTTTTGCTTCTTCCAGTTCCCTCTCAAATGGTTTTATGTTATTGTATGTTTTGTATTGTTTCATTCAACAGCATATGTTTATCGTATTCCTCATTTAAAAAAAAAAAAATTTTTTGTATGCACCAGGAATATGGGGGAGTGCCTATGCAATTTCATGTTTTCGATGGTTTGAGATAAATAAATAAATTTAAAAAAAAATTAAAAAATAAATAATTACAAACTTTATTCAGACATACAGAGTTATGCCTCTTAAGCTGGGTGTGCACTGTGCGACTTTTTCACTTTTTTGAGCCGATTTTCCACTCGTGCGAGAATCCACGAGATCGGGGCGAGTTTTGCGCCGAGCGTCGTGTAGTGTACAGGGGGTTACGAGAGGCGAGTAACACCACGTGACCAGCTACCGATCAGCGATCGTGAGCTCGCACGGACTTCTGGAGTGTTTGACATTTTGCTCGTTCCTCGTGAGGGTTGAAGCCGCGCTGCAAGTGGCTGAGACCCAAAAAGTATCAGAACCGCTCACGGCGCATGCGCAATCCTGCATCAACACCGCTCACCCGCTATTTCCCTAATAACACACGTTGTTCGTTTTAATTTCTACATGTTTTTTACTCACAAAGATTGTCAAGAAAGCGTGTTTGTTGTGTTCATGTCAAATTAAACTGATCACAAAACACAGATTTACTTTCTTTATTTCGTTTTCCTCATCCAACCCCCATTAATCCCTGTGTGTCCTCCTGCAGCTCTCCCGAAGGACAACAGGCAAAACAAAACAAAAAAGTCTGACGTGTTGTGTAAAAACTGCTATTTTTAGCATATTTTTAGGTCCGACGTGTTGCTACCAGACGTACAGTGTAAGCAGTGAGGTCGCATGCGAGAACTGGGTCGTACAGTGTGAGCGCATGACTCGTGAGATCTGCCCTGCGAGGAAGTCGTACAGTTTGAGCTGAAGCTGAACGCTGCGAGTGAAAAAGTCGCACAGTGTTTGCCCGGCTTTACACGGAGTTTCGATTGTACTATTGGGTGTGTTTTCTGGATTTTTAAATGTGATTTTTACAAATATACTCTTGGTAACCTCACTAAATAGTGCAGACCCCCTACAACCTTTTACCCCTTGGGGCGTCACGGACCCCAGATTGGGAACCACTGGTCTGGATAACCGTTTTTGTCGGGTGATTGGATTGAATTTTTGTCAGTGGTTGTCCTTCTTTCTCTTCTGTCCCTGAAACCCTTATTCATGCATTCATCACATCACAAATCCACTAATACAACGGTATCTTATGTGGTGTCTCATCCAAACCCCTCACCAAGCTTCAGCACATCCAGAATCTCCTAACCTACACCTGCTCCAATGACCACATCTCTCTTGTCCATTCAACACCTCCATTGGCAGTCCTCCCTAACCTGGCCCCTCCTACCTCCCTGACCTGCTCCACCACCGTGTCCCATCCCACTCCCTCCTCTCTCTCCCCCACCTATGGCCAAGCCCTGAACCTGGAGAGACACAGCTTTCTCCATTGCTGCCCCCACCCTCTGGAACTCACTCCTACAGCCCCTCTACAACTGCTGACCTCTCCACGTGCGGGTGCGGAGGTGAGGATCCACATGTAGGGGAAGAAGCGGGCAGGCAGACAAGAACATTCAACAAGGATTTAATGAGGAGCACGCTGGGCAATGAAACAATGAACTGACAAGACACACAAGAACGAGAGGGTTTAAATACAGGAGGAGCTGGGACCTGGAGCGATTGGAAGACGAGAGGCAGGTGGGAGCAATTAACATGAACACAGCACTGAACAGAATGGGGAGACAGGACAGAGTGTGACACGCTTGATGAATAAAATGTGTTATTCTACATTATGAGCCTAACTCCTATCCTAAAGTGCTGTCCCCCCTGAAGGCTGAACTTCTTCTGCTGCAGCTCTTATGGGGAATATAAACAACAGTTAATTCCCCACATTTTATTCACTAACGTTTTTTTACCTGACGAGAACTGTTATCCAGAGCACCCCCTCCTCTACCCACGTATTCATTTCAAGTTTCCTCATATCCAGAAGAACATGCCCTGAAATCATCTAATTTGTTTGATTTTTGGTGAGCTCATGGTCCCGAGTAGTGAGTAGGTCACTTGTAATTTAGATCAATCAGCACCCTTAAATGAGCATCTAAGATGACGGACTGAAAACCTGACAAATAATAAAACGATGTTTGTTTGTTTGTTTAACCGGAAATGATAGGCCCCTAAATCTCCTAGGCCCCTGGCCACGCCCCTGTTGGCCCATGGAATAGGTGGCCTTGAGCGCTGTGATTGGCATGATACAAAACTGCTCAGGCAAATGGTGGACCTGCTGAGGTTCCAGTGGAGCATGACTAGACTGACATGCAGAGCAAAATCTTTTTGCTTCAGCTACTGTCTGTCTAGATTTCTAGACGGGCAGTCAGGCAACCAAGAGCTCTTTGTCTGTGTCCTGTGAATATATGTAGAATGGATCTGATTAGTCCTTGCAGCTGTGTCTTCTCACTCTGCTGCTTCCATTTCCACCACTTTTACCACGTCAGCAACGCCACTCGTCTCCCTCACCCCCGCAGCCATGCGTGCATCGCCACAGTCATCAGTGACTGTCAGCTTTCAGTCTTATCGACTGCATGCGGGTGGAGAAGGACAAGCATGGAGCATCGACCACAGTTTATGTATACAAAAATGTGAAATCTCAAGTTGAAAGTAATATTTAGATTAGACATTTTTAAGTAACATTAATGAAAAAGGACAAGTTTGTAAACAGACACACAGACTTTGATAGTAAATAAGTACATTTATTACAGACTGTGGCTTTAAAGCAGCTGTCCAGATCCTATCCAATTATGAGCTGCTTTATTTAGCCAAGAGCAGCTTAAGCCCAGAGTTAGCCTGTTTGCATCTTTACACAGTCTGACTCAAAACAGGAAGTAGACTGATCTAATGCTTAACAGTATGCTAACATGGGTACACATAATCAGAATGAATGCGCTATCAGATCAAAAATGATTCGTGTAAACACGTCAGCCGGAATATTCTGATCCGATACGGCCCGATCTGAATGAAATCCCACTCCGATTGAGAGGGATGGTTTTGTCCGGTCATCGTTCCGATTGATGTCCACGTACACACCCATTCGGATTGTTGGGGTAAAATAATGTGCATGTGTGCAAGTTCAGCCTGACATCTTTCAACCCTTGCAGTCGCTCAGGACAAATGTGATGGGAGGTAGACAGAATTTATCCTGCTCTCCTCTGCTGTGAAGGAGGAGCAGTAGCATTACGTACCGCTGGGCCTGTAGCTTAGCTAAAGCCATCAGTAGAAACAGAAGCATACAGGTAAAAATGTGAAGAAGGTTTCTAACGGGCAAAAACCTGAGTCAGCTGACTAAGCTAGAGAATGAGAAAATAAAATGTTAGGAAATAGACATGCAGACAAGACGGCGTTCATTTGTTTTTTTTTCCCAGGGAAGACCACTCTGCACATGCTCAACCTGTTTAATCTGACGGAATGCTTGTTGCATGTGTACTCACAGCATGATCGGATTATTTCAATTACTGTACATGTAAACAGAGATTTGGGATTTCTGATCAACCAAGAATGGAATCAGATTGGGGAAATATGGCGATTGTAAATGTAGCTAGTGTTTTAGCTCTACTAGAGGGACGGGGGCAGCACTAACTAAACTCACATTTAGAGTCCTGAGCTCAAACACCGAGAGGTCAAATCATTCTATCACTTCATGTCCTGCAAACCTCTGCAATATGCATGGTGTGTGTGTGTGTGTGTGTGTGTGTGTGTGTGTGTGTGTGTGTGTGTGTGTGTGTGTGTGTGTGTGTGTGTGTGTCTGTGTGTGACTGTGCATGTGTGTGTTTGTGTGTGTGTGTGTGTGTGTGTTTGTTTGTGTGTGCTACTCACCAGCAGCAGCATGTGGGATGGTGGTAACGTTAAGCTTCTGCACCGAGTTTTTAACTCCATTTTTTGGGTCTTGCATTTCTACCACAATGGCCTCCAGCTGGAAGAACATGAGCAGCTGTGAGCATTCTTCAGACAGACGTCCATATTTATGAGAATTAACTTGAATAAAGGTCATTGGTACCGTAATCACAAGGTCATATAGACGTTTGATGGTTACATTAGAGGAACTGTAAGTTTGTCATGTCTGAATCTTTTGCTCTCTCTGTCCTAAATTCATGTAGTTTTTATGAATGACAGAACGTACTCAGCTGTCTAAATGAAAGCCGTAATAATATTGAGTTTAAGTGTGAGTGATTTAAGGTAAATCTAAATCCCACACATGCATAAACCATTTACAAATAAACTTTTGATTGATTGAAACTGGGTTCAGAGTGCACTCTAAGAATCAAATCAATATAAAAATGCATAAACGAGATGATAGTGTGTGTGTGTGTGTGTGTGTGTGTGTGTGTGTGTGTGTGTGTGAGCGCACCACAAAAAGACCCGTGTTTAAATCACTTGTGCAGGCTTCCTCCTTTGAAGCATGCTGTCATGTCGTTTTTACTTTCAAAAGCAGGAAAACAACAAAATTACTATATTTGACACTCAGAGGTGCAACATGGACACTGTGGATGATGCTTACATTTCTTTTACAGTTGCTGTTTGGCATAAACGTGTCTCTTTTGGAGATTTAACATCCATTAAACTTTGTCTTTCTGTCCCTGACATTAAATCAGACTCGGGAGTGTGAAAAGGAGCTAACGTCACTTAATGCTGCTGAATATTTCAGCCACGGCTGCAGCAAATCTAAGGAGCTCAACGCGAAGAATTAGAGATTACCCTGAGCCGGTCTGTGCTCCTTTACTGGCCAACAAATCAATGCATGTCCCTACAGAAACACATTTTCACCCACATGATTCTCTAATGATCAGTTTTCCTGATTAATGGAAAATGTTTCAGCCTCAGAGCTTTAAACAAAAAATACGTTCAAACAACTTTAGTCAACTTAAATAATGTGTCTACTTATTAAACACAGTGGTCCACATAAACAAGCATGAGTATTCTGACAGGTGAGGTAAAAGCTTCTACCCACCTTTTTCAGGCAGTGCATGCGAGGGGGGACATGCTGGCCCCGGTTGGGACGGGCTGTCCTTATAGTCATGTTGGCTGTCGGATGAGGACCAAATCAGACCCTGATCTGAACACAAAGTTGTGGAAGTTCCTGATGCTGCAAATGGACTGGCATGCTCATGTGGCAGACGTGACTGTAGGCAGAGATTAGACGACAGGAGGGGAAAATTGGATTATCCACCAATCCCACATGCACACACACACACACACATGCACGCACCTTTTCTTCTTCCAAACAATTCTGCTTTGGAAACAAAAAAAAAACAGCAAGAATGACTTGTTGTCAATTGGAAAAAGGGAGTAAACAATGACTGAAAGTTGCTGCGTCACATGGTTTGAAGCATCCCTGTTTACATTTTATTTCCTTCCTTAAAAGGTGCGTGATGTCAGAATGAAGAAAGAATGACTTCCTGTGGTCAAATCTGGGTACTGCACTTTATGTTTCTAAACAAACAAGTAACTCTGGGTGTGTCCGAATGGAGCCACTTCTGGGACACGTCGATTTTTGCAGTTTACACAGGGCTAGAAAGGAAGTCACACACGGTTTCAGTGTAAAATCTCCAGTAACTTTCAAAATAAAAGTACAGCAGCAATGCAATTTCATATATGTAGCTTATGTGTGACCCAACAGCTTATTTACTCCCAGCAGAAGTCAGCGGTTTGTTTTTCATGGCTTTATCCTGGCCGTGGAGGGGAACAACATCATATGTGACATCAAACAGTGATATCAAACGTGATTTCCTCCTTTTGATTTAATGGCAGATTGCATAAACAAACCAAGACCTTTGAAGTCTCGAGGGATCGTGTGATCTCGCTAGTCAGGCGAGGAGGATGGCAAAAGTCGAGGGATTTTGTGATCTTACGAGTCCAGCAAAGAACACAGCGAGGAAGCCGTGCCGTGGCCAAGACTCTCCCAGCGTGAAAAGGACCACTTTGAAGTTGGCGAGTAAACTGTTCCGCTGCCGTTTCGCTCTGCAGATGCTTCCGGTGTGAAACCAGGGTGACACGCCTAAGAGAAGCCCGAAAAAGATCCAGTTTGAGCCTACATTACGTTATTAATATTGACTCTCAGCGATCAGACTTTTTTTGAGTGGAGAGAACAGAGAGGATTGTACATGCGCTCCAGGCGGCTGGGTCCTACGCATGGCTACAATAACATTCTCAAAGTGGCGCCACCTGAAAAAAAATTAACGTGATTGTTCGTGTCTGCTCATATTCTCCGATACTTTCTGTCTTTTATTCGTGCCTGATGCGCTCTGCTGCACCGGAGCACAAAACCTGTGCCCCGGTGACTTCACCTCACTGGCGTGGCTGCCATAAAAAAAGTTAAACTTCCAATTCCAGCCTCCACAGGTGGTCTCATCCTTCCCTTTAAGCGCCTCATGACTTTTATCTTGAGAGGCGCTGCATTAAAGATTGTTTTCTTTCTTTCTAAAGTACATTCCAAGCTTGGGTCCTCTACCAGAGGCCTGGGAGCTTGATGGTTCTGCAGCAACTTCGCTGTTCCTAGAACTGCTCTTTTCTGGACTGAGATGTCTGAGGCTTTCCTGGAATCTGCTTTAACCACTCCTCCAGTCTGGGGGTTACGGCCCCCGAGTGCCCCGATGACCACGGGCACCACTGATGTCTTCACCCTCCAGGCTTTCTCAAGTTCTTCTTTGAGGTCCTGGTACTTCTCTAGTTCCTCGTGTTCCTTTTTCCTGATGTTGCATCACTTGCTATCGCCACATCAACAGAACAGCTGTCATAGTTGTTCATCCATCACCACAACACCTGGTTGGTCCACCATCACCATTTTGTCGATCTGGATCTGGAAGTCCCCCAGGAGCCTGGCTCTCTCGTTCTGTACCACCTTAGGGGGTCTTTCCCACTTTGACCTTGGGACTTCCAGTCCATACTCTGCACAGATGTTCCTGTACACAATGTCAGCCATCTGGTTGTGGCGTTCCATGTCTGCTTTCCCTGCCATCATCTTACATCTTGCAGTTATGTGGTGGATTGACGCAGGGGCCTCTTTGCACAGCCTACACCGAGGATATTCATTTCCGGTCATGGAGGGCTTGAATCAAGCACATCTTATTGGTTTCTCTGCTTCAAAACGATTCAGTGGTTGAATCACCTGCACAGCAGCTCATCAGGCTATTAATCATGTTTCATCCAGGGCACCTTGGCTGGCAAAGAAGACAAAGATGCGCCGCGAACCGGTCCAGAGTTGCCCTCGGTACACGTTGATGGTAAAGCGTTTTGTCGATGCGCTTTATTAAGTTAATTCACTCAGAAATCAAAGACCCTGTATGAGTCTGCATTAGAAGTTGCGATTCAGCTATTCTGCCTGGCTTGGCAGAAACAGCGTGAAAGGGGGGAAGAACGAGCCAACAGGCTCTGCCCCCCCTTTGGTTTTCAGGTCTGTTCTCTTTCGTTGTCAAGCACCAACTCGAATCAAGACTGAAACTTACCAAAAACCTTTCTCTTCTCCAAGCAAACGTGTGCGTCATCAAATGTGTCTGGAGTTTACTGTGGGAAGATGTGTGTGGGTGTGTGTGAATGTTTGTGTGCTTGAGTGTGTGTGAAGGTCAGTACCAAACATTCAACATTATTTAAGAATGGATTCATTCAGCCATTATAATTACCCCAAAGCATAAGAACCATTCATTTGATTAAACACATTTATAATGAGCAAAATGATAATGGTTACTTTAACATTAAAATCAAGAAAAAGAAGTTTAAACTTTATGTTTTGACTTGGTCTGGGTACAACTCATGGAAACACATCTTCTGGTAGACTGCAGGTGGCTGATGTTATGGTTTCCTCACAGACTCGCTGGCGTTCAGGTCTTAATCTGTGGGTGAAAGTTCTCAATGACCCAGCTTTGACCCAGCTGAGTCCAGCACCACCATTGTGACAGAAAACCCATATTTCCTCACGTTACAGACCCCCCCTTTTGTGACGACATGGAGGTCAAGCAGAGGCCACCTGACGTCACAACCACAATAACGTGATGTACTCGTGAAGGTAGACATCCCAGATGAAGGCAGGAACGATGAAGCGTCACCACAGGTCTCGTGTAGAAGGGAGTATATCCTGATCAGATGATTAAGGCCAAAACTGTTGCAATCATTGTAAAGTAATCCACTTAGGGAATCTTGAAAGCAGAGCTATGCCAATAGTAGTTAATTTCATCAGCAATAATGCAAAGGTATGCAAAGGATAAGCAGCTCGTGTGCCACACGGAGCTGGGCAGGTGATGTATTCCCCAGGCGTAGTCCAGACGAAGTCCAGTGACGACCTCGACACCTCTCGAACCACGACCGAAGCCCCATGCGACAGGAAACCAGCTGAAGGATGGTGAAGACGACCCCTCTGATGGGATGTAGTCCATACGAGCTCGGAGAAGGAGACAAAGTGAGACAGCCCACACGATAGATAGCATTTGATGCAAATCAAAGAAATCAATCAAAACCTATCTATGGGTGCCTCTGGGAAAATGTGTAGGCATTTTGTGAATTATCTAAAGAAGAAATGTTCTGCACCCTGCTCTACATGTCATGCAAAAACGTGATGCAGAGAAAACACAAACAAAAGAAAGTAAATCCTAACTGATATGTGAAACTCAGCAGGCTGCACTAATTAAAGGCTTATATATACAAGAAATAATCATGAAAATGAAGGGCAAATTGGCTTGTGGCCCTTTAAGGGAAATAGTAACAAAATAAAATTAAATTTGTAATCAAATATAATCATGCTACACAAAGCACTAATAAAAAGATAGAGATGTAAATCAATTCTAAAAATGTAAATCAGTAGGTTAGTAATCCCTAAAAATGTGAGTTAGTAGCAGGTGTCCTGGCTGGAGGCAGGTAACCTGAAAAAAAAACTCAAAGGATATCACATTTGTTAAAAATTCATCCCACAAACGAGAGAATTTGTAACGGTCCACCAGTTAGTGGAAAAGAATCCGGTCAGAATAGAGTTGTTCAGTATAGAGTTGGTCAGAATAGAGTTTTGAATCTGGTATTGCGGACCCACAGAGACACGAGTTTGGACGTATCTGTGGGAGCAGGCTCATAAGCGATTTGGTTATCAAACTGTTTGTATCTTGTGTTACGAACCCACAGGGAAACTTGTTTGAATTTACCTGAGGGTCCCGTTTGGAACTCGAGTGAAGCTGATGGTTTAGCTGTTAGATCAGAACCTGATTTTACCTGCTCAAAGTTGGGTTGCAGCTGTACGGAGGCGACTTTGTCGTGATCAGAAATAGTAGTGAACTGGAAATGCGAAAATGATGCTCGCAAAGCAGAAGGAGGCTCCCCACCCCCCTTTTGTTGCTCAAACTTATGCCATGTCTGTGAGACAGGAGAAGCATAACAAAGAACAGTTCTTAAGCTCTTAAAAGCCCTATTACCAAGAAGATGCACATTGTCACCTGGATCGTGCTGAAAGAGTAGGTGTTCAGATGTCCAAAGACCTGGAGGTGTTGGACTTGGAGGTTCTGAAAAGGAGTGATCCAAGGATGGTTGTGTCACGGGTGTCAAAGCAAACCTAGCCATGTTTAGAATCAGATACAGACATGACGCTAGCTTTAGGAACATGGTCTGTCCTGAAAACTGAAACCAAGAATACTTTATTCCCAAGAATGATCGAGGTTCCCACACAGAGTCAGAAAAACCCGGTTTAACCAGAGTAGTCACAGACTGACTAAAGTTCCGCCCCGTAGAAGGTGCCACACCTATCTCCGGGTCGGAGGTCAATGTTGTCAGCTGAATCGGTGGAAGGTCAGTGTCGAGTCCTGCAATGACCCGCCCGCTTGGAGGAGGCGTTCCCCCGAACAGCCTGAAGTCTGCAACGGAAAACTCAGTGCCACTCGGCACCCCCCTTTTGTCAGGAGGGGCCCCGAGCAGAGCATCACTGCCCCCACCTACACCCCCCGGGCCGGGTGGCCTCCCCGAGCCCGTGAGAGAGGAGTGCGCAGCAACCACTGAGGCTTCCTCAATATCGCCACTGACCACTGGACTGCTGGAAACCGCAGGTTTTACCGCGCCGTCGTGGTCACCTGTAAGAGAAATCACAGAAAAGAGAGCACAGAGGCCAGAGACTAAGTCACACCCCCATGAAAGGAGAAAAGAATTGGCCACCGTA